ATTCAGCCAATTTTTTTATGATTATCGCCACTGTTCGGTTTTCTTTTACAAACTTTATTCTTTGAATGATAAAAATGTTCAACTGGACATTTTATGTTAAATTATACATCAATTTTTTTATTTTTATTATCTTTAACTTTTTTTTCAATCTTTTTACTGAAAATAACCACCATGGATATTTAACGGTTTTATGATATTTAAATTTTATAGATAGATATTCATTTTCGAATTCGAAAATGTTTTTTATTCTGCTTTGAGTGAATTAGCTAAGTTAAATCATTATAACTTTTTATTCTTTGTTTACATTGTTCACCTATTTATTCCATATTATTGGAGTTTAAATAAATACTGTTCTAAGCATTCGTGACTATAATTTCGTCATTGTATTAAAAACATGGAATATCGAAGTAGATCCTGTGGTTTAATTTAATTTTCCTGTGACAAACTTTGTGTTTTTGTTTTACTTGTCACGTCAACAAGAAAGTAATTACAAATTACTATCAAATTTAATTTGCAACAATCGAATGCCAACATCCAGAAGACAGAAAATGAGCATAAATAGTCCACCAATCGGAGTCACCGTATTAGCTAAACTTACTTCTAATGTTTGTCCATCAATACATTTCAACAGATTTTTGTTGTAAGTTATATTATTGAATAAATAATTATGACTCATCCTTACGATGTTTTATATTTTTAGGTATAAAACTTCAGTTCTTGTACTAACATATGTAGCTTATGTTTGTTATCATATGACTCGCAAACCAATTGCTGTAGTAAAATCTGTGTTACATCAAAACTGTTCAGATTTGCCGAGACCGTCAGACTTTAAAATAAATTCATTTAACGACGAAACGTGGTGTGATTATGCTCCTTTTGGTAATTAAAGTTTAATTATATCATCATCATCATTCTATATTTTTAATCACCAATTTTAAATTACAGATGGATCCGACGCTTCAGCTCTACTTGGAATCCTGGACTCAAGTTTCCTGTTTTGCTATGCAATTGCTATGTTTTTCTCTGGTCTCATAGCTGAACGTGTCTCTTTGCGATATTATTTGTCATTAGGCATGTTGCTGTCAGGATTCTTTTGTTATACATTTGGATATGCAAAAACAAAAGACGTTCATTCATTGGCATATTTCGTGATAGTTCAAAGTTTTGCTGGAATTTTCCAAACAACTGGATGGCCTGGTGTTGTAACTGTTGTGAGCCGGTGGTGTGGAAAATCAAAAAGAGGATTAATTTTAGGCATTTGGAATTCACATACATCTATTGGAAACATGCTTGGAACTTACATAGCAGCTCATTATGTAGCAACAGATTGGAGCATGTCTTTCATTGTCCCTGGATTCATAATGGGAATTGTCGGATTCATCATATTTTTGTTTCTTGTGGATAGTCCTGAGATTGTAGGAATGCAACATGAAGTGACGGCTGCGAATCCTGAAGATACTTCAAACTATCGTCGGTTTGATGATTCAGATGAAAGTGGCTTAGGAGAAGTAACAATTCGAACTGAACATGTAAGAATTTATTGCTTCTTGTTGCATTTACATCTTATTGTTGTTATTTCTTCTACTAGGAAAGTAATCCCTCATTAAGATCACTACGAGGCAGTTTGAATTCTGTAATTGACATTTTCTAATAATATGAAATATTTATAAGCTAATTAGAAATAAAATTTCTCAACAGGAAAGTCAACGATACAATGAGAGAACACCAATGTTGGGAATGAATAGCAATCATCATGAAACACCAATAGGTTTTATTGGAGCACTAAAAATTCCAGGCGTGATTGAATTTTCACTTTGCTTATTCTTTTCTAAGCTTGTTAATTACACATTTTTATTTTGGCTTCCTCTCTACATTAAAAATACCAGTAAGTTCATTACGTTTGTTAATTTTATATTTCTAAATTATTTCTTTTTAGCACCCTTGACTCCAGAAGCAAGTGCAGAACTTTCAATGGTTTTTGACATTGGAGGAATTGTTGGCGCAATTGCGACGGGCGTAATATCTGATACAACATCAATGCCGGCATCGACATGTGTTGGCATGTTGTTTGTTGCTGCTCCTCTTTTATTCATCTATGAAACTTATGGAGCTTTAAGTTGGCTCATTAATGTGTCAATGCTTTTTGTACTTGGACTGTTTGTTAATGGACCATATGCACTTATAACAACATCTGTATCAGCAGAGTTGGGTCAACATAAATCCCTTGAAGGAAATGGAAAAGCATTAGCGACAGTGACTTCAATAATTGATGGTACTGGGTCAATAGGAGCAGCTGTTGGTCCCCTGATTGCTGGTCTAGTTCAAGCTGGAGGCTGGCAGAATGTATTTTACATGCTTATCTCATCAAATATAATAGCGATGCTATTATTATTTAGACTTGTAAGAAAAGAATTCAGCAAGTTAAACAGACGTAGAAATAACATAAGAATCGAATGAAAAATGTTAGATAAGCTTAATTGCATTCTCATTTGGTTTTAAATTAAATATTAATATTTAATAATTTTTTCATATGCAGATCTGACATTTTCATCGTTCGTTTCTCAAGAATTTAATAAACTGACTGTTAATGATTTTATCAGTTAATTCAATTTGCAGTTCTTTTATTCCTTCAATTGAAAATCAAATTTTAATGTTTTTTTTCTAGAATCCTAAAACAAATATATATTCATGAATACAAAAATTAAAACTTTTTTAATTTGCTTAATTGATTATTTCTTCGTAAAGCCATTTTTCTCAGAATTCGCCAATACTCTTTCGTTTCTGGATCATGATCCTCAAGTTTTTTTGGAGGGCCTGTGTACAAATTCCAAAGCCATTCTGGATACTCATTATCAGGCTTAAGCTGAAAACAGAAAGCACCAAATGAATTCAACAAATTTTCTCCAGAAAAATATAACTCACTTTAATGTCCTCTCCTTTTATATAAATATTACTTCCACATACGTAGTTTACCAATTTCTCAGGGTTTGTTTCCACAGGAAGTATTCTTTTTTCCACAGCAACTCCCATTTTGCCACTGACTTTGCCGAGCTTTTTTCCTAAAGCTAGAATGATATGTCATTGATTAAAAATTAGAAAATAAGAATCTAAGAATACATACCGGCTGATGGGTTTGCAGCATAAAAACGATGTGATGATAACAGATTTAGTTGCTTAACAATATTAAATTGTTTCATCGTTAATTGTAACGTGCAAATCATGTTAATTTATACACAACACACTTGAAAATCCTAAGAAGAAATTTTTGTTATCGAAACTTTGCAATGTTAAGAAAAGATCACAATAAACTTCTCTTATATGTTCACAATTATTTCTCTAGGAAATGAAGGGTAGACATATATGCACTGAATGGTACCTATCTCAGTTTAAATTATGAAAAATAGATGTCGCTAATTTAAAAAAACCGTTGAATCTCCAGTCCCTATATATTTTTATAAGCAAAATTAAAACGATTATCAGTTAGAAAATAAGAGCTAGTTCCTACATTAATTAGAGATAAATTATCTCCATTGCTTTGTTAACATTTATTTCGAAGCAACTTCAAATTAACTATTTATTGAATTAAGAGCTGTAATATTACATGTATAAACTATGTGTCTACTTGAAATTCTTAAAAAGGATTCCCTTTTCCAAAAATGGTTCATTTCAAATAAACTTCCTATTTAGTAAGAAAACTACTCTCGTTTTTCAAATTTTCTTTTTATACTTATTTTTTCGGAACATTTTATGCAAATTTGTGTGAGTTTTATCGGAGCATAAAAAAATATTATTTTTTTTAAATTTTAATCATATTTCATAAGTGGATATCAATCATTCGAATTGGTCTATTATGTATGAAGGTTCACATGAGATTCCTCAAGATTACCTAATTCATGAAAATATTAATTCAAGTAAAACTTCGGAAAACAATTTACCTACCGAAAATAAAAGTGTGGAATTAAATCTTTGTTAAAATAACAAAAAAATATCAAAACATAAAAAAAGTTGATAGAATTTTACCCTCGAACATAAAACCGATAAAATGCCTTGCGGAATCTGAGAATTTAAATGAACGATTTAAAAATTGATCCATATCACATAAACCATAAATCAAGCATCAATCATCCTAATGTGTGCAATTTATTGAACATTCATTATTATTCATATTCTTAAAAAAGTGATGTGCCCGCGTAAGAAATGAGAAAAAGATATTTATCTATTTGATTTAACGTTCAGCCAATTTGTTTTCGTCCTGGGATGTATTTTAAATATGCATCAGAAACATCTTGAAGGAAATGATTCAATGTATAGTTGTTAGATGATGATTAATCATGTGAAAAAAAGTCCTGATGTTAAAAAGAAATTATCTATTCCAATTAAAAACACATTTCTTATTGAACTTATTTCAAACAGGTGCTTTAAACTGAACCCTTTTTTGTCTTTATTCATATATATTTTTTTCAATTAGTTCAAATTTTATATGGACAAGAATTTTTTTATAAAATACGTGAGCTTAAGCAAAACGCTTCTCAGTATTTTACACACTTCATTATGCAATGATTAAAAGACTTAAATTTATTCAAGTGAGTCGAACATAAAAAATTAAGCGAATTATTTCTGTTATGTTAATAATGTGTTAATTGTTTAAATGTGTAAAGTTATTACCATCAATTTTATTTTGTTTTGGTCGATAACGGCATGAAACTAATTTTCATACATTGAAATTAACATTTGATTCATGTCATAAAGATAAATAATAAAGATATCATCCAATGAAGTTTTAAAAGAGGGAAACCAAGAATGTTTACTTAATTCGAATAGATATTTAAATATTCCGTATGGATGTTTAAGCAAATTTATATAACGAGATAAGTTATAAGAACTTATTTGATAAGAAGAATCATTACATTTTTTATAATGAAGAATATTGAAAATGCATCAGTACCATCAATGTTTCGCAATGACAATATTTTGTATTCAAACTCTGAATAAATCTACTAAGTATTTGCATAATCCTTAATAATTATTAATTTGCAAGAAAACTTTCGTTTTTCAAGGCATCGTTGCTTAGCAACGTATCTGGTTTCATTTTATCAAATAAAATTCAAATATTTATTCCAGATTAATTAAGGCGGCGATATCTTCATTAAAATCTGCAATAAACTGCAGTTCCATCTTATTGATAATTCTTGTATACACGAGTCATATCCGAATATTAAAGAAAAGAGACTAAAAGTTAATTTAGGGTAATTGTGGAATCCAATGGATGGAGATTATTATAAAACCTGATTTTGAAAGGGTTGAAATGGTGTGATGTCTTTATATCATTAATATTTGGTGTGTAAAGGGCGAGAAAATTGGAAGAGACATGCTTTTGCGCAGCCAAAGGAGTTCTGAGAATTTTAAAACGCCCAAAATTCTTTTCTCTACTAAAAATATTACAATTAACAATTAAATCTTTGATAAATTTTCAGCTACTTTACATTAGAGACATTAGAAGTAGTGGCAGAATATATGAATTTATTCCTAAGGGAGATAGAAACTTACTAGTTGCATTCAAGTTGTTAAAGGTTTTATCTTTAAAATTCTTATTGTGAAAGAAGAAGGTTGTTACTTCCAACTGCCATGTTTAACATTTATCGAGCGATGACCAACCCTCGTTTGATATGAGACAGTGAACAATTTTCCATTAAATATGCGGGAAGGTTTTTTGTGTTGTAGCGCTTTTACCTAGAAAGCAAAATGGAATAATTTATGAAAATAACCATTTGTATACAAGCTTAGCTGTATTTACGGAAAATCGAGCTGAGTAAATGCATAAAATATAAGAATTAGGCACGCTAACTTTAAAGTATACATTATAATAATGATGAATAGGAAAAGCTCGTATAATGTGTTATGTGTGTGCAGGTAATAAAACTGTGCAGCAATTTCATCGATTCTTTAATTAGGAAATTCTGGAAAAATTGCCGATGACATAGATTTTACATTTTTATAACAATCTGCTTAATTTTCCCATTTGTTCAACTAATTTATAGTGGCTTCACTTTTTTTCCTATTTTTGTTAAAGGGAAAATCTTTAATCACTCTCACTCTACCTCATGAACTCCCAACAAAAGTTTATCTGCAAAACTTTAATTTTTTTTTTAATATGGGCTTGAATGATCAAAAATAAACAATTTAAAATACTTTCAATTCAATCATGGATCGATTTGTAAGTTGTTGAAATAATTTTTTTATCTATAAAACTCTTATCACCTATTAAATGTAGTAGGGAGATAAGATAACATACAAATGTAGCCTAATATAAGAAAGTTATAATTGAGTATATGAGCTTATTTGAAAAAACACAGAAATAAATTTGCTTTTCACGTCGGTGGATCACATAAAATCTGATATTTTAAGATATATTTTTAAATAAGAAAAATAAAAGTGAATTAATCAGTGAGACATTGAAAAGAATATCGAAAAGATTCTAAACTATTATGGCGAAATCTCGTTTTGTATATCTTGTTCTATCAAGTGTTGTTTCAATTGTCTCTGTTGCAAATTTGTCAATAATGTTTTATTCGGATAATTGGGTACAATCAATAATAAACTTCTGTTATCAACAAATATAAAACGGAAATCCTTTATGATTTTAGGTTTTATCTGAGGCTCAATATAAAGAATCCAACATATCTCAAAACTTAGAAGTTTCATATGGGCTATTTAGTGGAAGAGTAAAACAATTTCTACTGTCATCGTCCCGAAATAACGACTTAGGAAGTAAAGTTATAAAAGTAAAGAGTGAAACGATATATTCGTTAATTATATTATTTATGATTATTGACAGTTATCTGTGACTATGGGTTAAACAAATGTTTCTACAGTTGTCAACAAACAAACGAAAACAGAAAAGCTGAGTTTGTGAATTTGTTAAACGACGAGGATATTGGAACTTGCCCCGAATCAGTAAATCAAAGATCTACATTTAAAAATTATAATAAACAGGTGCATTCTGATTCATCACGAGATTATGACAGTCAGTCGAAAACGTCATCGAACTTTAATGAAGAATTTTTAAATGCAGCTTTGTGGCTATCAACAGTCACATTTCTTGGATTGTCTTTAGCGTTTGCGATTGTTGGAGGATTTTTCGCAATTTTGAACATTTGGTTTAATCCATCTCTAGACATATTTGGTGTACTTGGTCTTTATGTTTGGAATGGAATAACTTTAGTAATGTGTGGACTTACTATGATTATTTGGGGTTCTTTTTTTATAATTGATGTGTCCAATAATATTGGCATTACTTATACACTACAAACCAAAGCAAACTATTCTTCAACTGGTCTTGCTAAAATTGGATATTCATTTTGGATCATGTTTGTGTCAATAGCTTGCCATATCATTAATATTGGACTCGTCTACCTAAGAAGTTATTTAATACAAAAAGAACCTGAGCAACCTATCATAACTATTGACAAAAACGATTCAACTATTTTAGTTTATTGATAAAAAGACATTAAAAAACATAAATCTGTAGGTGCTTAACTGTGAAAATATGAAAATAATTTATCAAATAAAAATGCTTGCTTTGACAACAAAAAATAATTTCTCATTTCGTTTCGTCTTAAAGCAAAGATCATGCTTATTTAAGACAGATATTAAAGACTGTCGGTAATAATTTAAAGTCCAACTCAATCACTTTTCAATAATTGCATAATTGAAGCAATTAACTTGTACATTGATAACTTCCTAACATTAAATGATTCACATCATGCAAGAATTGAGTTCAGAAAAAGAATTTTTAATTGACTCACATCATTTGCCTCACAGTTTTATCAGTCGTTTTCAAAAAGAATCATGAAACTTTTTCGTGGTATTTTAATTTTAGATTCATCCTGAGACTTTTAGACTCATCAACGTCAAATTCGTATTCAGAGTTAATCAAAGAAAGTTGTCATTCTAATATGTATATTTTAAGGCAAAACGTAACTATGAAAATATGCTCAACCGAGTAATCGAAACATTAAGTTTAGCCGACGATTAATCTGAGAATGAAAGTGCACATTAAATTACTTTTTATGAATTTTTTTTGAAATAATAAGTGAGTAACTTTTTTCAGGGTATTTTATTCAGCTTTATTTATTTTTGTATCAACATCAACGCAACACTTTTTAACTTTAATTTAACATTCTTTATTTTTAAGAAAACATAAAATTAAAATTCTATTGAAACGACCGAAAATTCTTGTCGCATAGCCAAGATCAATGTCAGTTATCAGTTAACGACTACTCGCCGTGCTATCTCTAGTAAGCATAAATACTTAATTATTTTTTTAAACAATTCAAAACTTCTGTATTATGTCAAATTATGAACAAGAAGTAGCTCATCTACCTTAGTTTCATTACACGAATCTTGTTCTTTTGTGAGAATAACAATTTCACGATCAAGAACTAAGCGTTTTTCCAAGTCAATTTTCACTTTAATGACATTTAATTCTCGAGGCACGCATAAAGCATTTGTGCTCATGAAAGCTGTAAAAGAAATCTAGTGAAATGAGTGAGGAAATTTACTTTAATTGGTCCCTGAAACTTGTTGCTTTGAATTACAACTTTCAACGCAGTGAAGTTCGAACTATTTACAAAAAAAAAAAACTGGAAAAGACCATTGAATAATTATAGTTGCGTGTTAATAAACGGCTCAACTTTTAATATTTTTTACTGAATTTCTCCCGGACTTATTATGCTGACTAAAAACTCCAGTTCATGATGTTCAATAACCTTTGCTTGTAATTTTAAATAATTGCGACACGAAATTTTTTCATGACTCCTTCAAATTGTGAAAATATATTTAGCTAAGAGGAAAAAAGAACAATAAAAGCACTTATTTATTTTTTTTAAGCTTAGTTTCGTTTAAGTAGTGTCCAAATATTTTTAAGATAGCATAAGTATGGAAATAATTTTAATCATCTTAAACTGGAATTTCATTTGATTTTTTTAACAACTTTTTGATTTAAGGACTACAATTGAGGTATGAATAATAAAAGAAAATTTTTAAACCTAAGTTTGAGATTAATGGAGGATTGCTTTCAACTTTTTTTAGTGATATTATTTGATTTAATAAAATCCTTAAACCATTTCAACCAGTAACATACATGTAAACATTTTTTACATATAATGATAATTTCTATTTATTGAAAGTTAAGTTATAACTTCGGGATATCCGAACTCACTTTATTAATGTCTTTAATGATTATATAGCAACTCAAATATCAGATTTGTTGTCAATATGATCAAGAGGAATCATAGTTGTTGTTGAAATTTCTTATTCTTTTGTGTGAAGATTTAATTCTCGTCAATGAATATAAAAGTGATCAAGTTTTTAAAATCTATAAAAAAGATTTCATTTAATTTACTGAAAAATTATGTTGCTTGCAAATTAAAATGCCCATATAAAAATCTATGTAGCTACTTATGAGCAGCAGTATTAAATATAATTGAATACAACGTAAATATTTTGAAACACGCAAAACCACAAGAAAGGAGTTATTTGAAACAGTTTAGAGGAATTTTGTGCATGTTTTCACCTAAAAACTAATGACTTTCAAATTTAAAGTTTTGTGGATTTCTTAGATTATTGCTTACCGAAAACGCCACTGTAAAAACGTGGGAATTTTTATATTTTTCAATTGAACAAAGAAAAATCAAGAGTCGAAATTTTGATAATTTTTTATTTTCCATAAATATTCTCACATTTTGTTTCATAAATGTTAGATTATATTAAAAAGACAGCTTTAATATTTATAGGTATATCTTTAAAATTGGTTATTAAATTTATGCATCTTTTGTTTTCCACACACATCTTTTTCAAGAAAGTTATTGGATTGAGTTATGTGGTGACATTTGAATACTTACTGTTTGAACGAAAAAAATCATACGTACCGCTTTGTCTTATTTAAAGAAGATATCAAACTGAGAATTGACTGTGACTTTTGGAGTGAAATAAATCAATTTATAAAAATCATTTCGTACTTTTCATTTTTCTTTTTTAAAATCTTTTATGAAGTTTGTAAGACAAAACATGCTTGTTTTGTTTCTTTTACTTTTGAATTTATTGTTATTATATTGATTACATGAACGTATATAAAGATCATCGCGTGATGATTTTTAAATGTTCAGAATTATTCTTCGAAAAAAAATATTCAGTTGTCAAGTCTTTCAGTGGCTGCTAGTGTACAAAAGAAACAATTTTTGAAATGAATATGCCATATGTACACCATAAAATAATAATACTTGATTCTTCATCAAATTGGTGAAGAAGATCTCTTTAAATAATAAATTGTAAGCCTTTTTACGTATCAACAGGCGTATTATTTTGAAAATTAAAGACATGCTAAAGATTGAAATTGTTTTAAACTTAAATTTTAATTATTGAAATTTATAAGCCATATGTCATTTAAATAAAAGAGTTACCTGTTTAAATTTTTTGTCAGATTGATGCTTGAACAAAATAACAAATTCTTAACAAAATAGGTCACGTTAATTCCTTTACGAAACCATAACACATTTGAAAATATGTTGCATATTATGATTTTAAGTAAAATACAAAGAAAAAAGAGTTCAACATTTTTAATATTAAATTTGGTCACAAACATTTATATTTGATGATCAAATATTTCATTGAACACAAAAGACGTGCCAGAAAAATGTTAAAAAAATATTTAATAAGCCAAATAAGTGATAAATTGATTACTTTTTGTATTTTCTTCCAAACAACATAAATGGATGCAACCAGAAAACGCGTGACGATATTTTTGTATACCATTCCTTATTTTTTTATTTAAATCATATAGGAAAAACATTATTGTAAGTAATAATAAAATTTGTTCACGAATCAAAAATCTCGGAATGTGCAACGTGAATTCATTCAATTTAGAGTTCAAGATATCGCATACATATAATATTTAAAATCACCTACATACATCACAAAGAACAAATAAGAGAGAGATAGCCATAGTTACACTACAAACACTTATGAAGTTTGAGATTACATTTCTGTAGATAGAATAATGTTCAGACAATTCCATAATAAAATATGCACTGACATAATAGTTCATTCTTCAATAATGTCTGAAGCGACTTTTTTGCATAAATATTATATCAATTTCAATTATATTTCAGATGTTACACAATCTAGAATATTCATATTTGCATACTACCAAACAAAGAATTGTAACATCACTCCGAGTAATCGCTAACCGATAACTGACTGTGTTTCTTATATGTACATTTTCAATCTCAGATTAATCGTCAGCTATTCGAAATTTAGTGCTTCGATTACTCAGTTAATCGATGTTTTGAAACAATCGGTGAATCGTTATCTCTGTTCAAAGTAATGAATAATTTTAAAAATGTCAAAAATATATTTGCGGGAATCCCATTACAAATGAGAAAAAACATTTAAGTATAAACCAGCTTTATTGATAATTTTTACTGTTAAAAATATTCTTGAAATTGTTTAAAAATACTAATTGAAGATTTTTAGCATAATTGCAAATCGAATTTTTTAAGGAATCGTAAGTTTGATCAATGAGATTGAATAAAGTTTTTTGTATTTATTTATTTAATAGCAATAGATATTAATTATCTCTAAAGAAATAATAGAACTGGATTTTTCGGCTATAATCAATTTATCTTCCTTTTTCTTTACCTGGCATACCAATGTATGTGATAAATTGATCATTTGCCTTTTCATCACTTTTTTATGAGCTTTAGAAAAACAAATTTTTATTAATACGACATAGAGATATACATCAAAACGACATCACATACTTCAGAAAGAGCAAATTTTGCTTTCGAAAATTCTAAGACAATTTATGTGAGCAGATTACTATTTATGCTGGGATTCTGAAATAAAATAACAATAATGGAAAAGCTATTCAAACTTCGCTTAATGGCATCTCACATTATTATTGGATGTTTTTGACAACATCTAAATATATTGATCTTATTGTTCATTCATTCATTACAACTGAATTGTAAATATGTTCAAAAGCATTCTTTATATACGCTTCGCATTTACAAACTGTTCCTTTTCTTAATATCTATTCAATATCCCATGAGATTTATTGCCACTTTTTGTTAAATTACTTTTGAGAAACTTGTTTGCCATTTCTTGTTTCAGTCGAAATGCGTCGATAAGTATGCAAAAGCTTTTTATTGTCAAAGCCTATCGGTCTTTAATGATTTACTGCTTGTACATAGTTAAGAGAGGTGCAAAGTAACTTGACGGCGTTCATTCATCTCTGCTTAAAAATGTGTATTGAGGATCTCTTTTTCTTCTTAAGCTGTTTATAAACAGCATCTTTATCACAGTATTTAACTCGATTTTTGTTTTAATTAAATAATTTGAAAAGTTCTAGAGCCATAAATTTATTTTGTTTCACACTTTTTGATGTTACTTCTTTTCTTTCTTCCTTTTTTGATGCATCAACATGCAGGTGAAGAGAGAAAAGAAGGAATCAGGTATAAACTATATAATCATTAGGTAGGTTCCGTTTTTTTTGTGGCTTATCGAAGCAATCAATTTTCAATTTACTTGAATACACAAAAAAAAACTTTTGTTTCTCTGTTCCGGTGAGAAAACAACGCTTGTCTAAATATTTACACCCTTTTAATTTGAGAGCAAGAAATGCTACGAATATGGCTATAATAGAAAGTTATATTTACAAGTTTGATCCTATCAAGGATGAAAAGGTCTTGATACTGTTATTAAGCAATTCCGTTGTTATCGTAAAGCTGTAATCATTTGATAGATTTAAAGGAAGAATCAAAGGAATCAGAACAGCTGAATTAAACATAATTCTTTTAATAGAGTGGCGTTTTCTGTAATATGTATTTTATTGAGCATATGAATGATCCATTTTCAATACAAAAACTTTTTAAAATTAAATGGAAGTTTTATGAACTCAATTGTTTCAGAGAAATATTTATGTTTTGAAAATAAAATTATCAATGCAAACCATAACTAATAATATGTTGTTTACATCTTAAATGTGTTTTATTTATGGGTGGTCAAGCAATCGAGAGCCAAAAATCAGCTTTCTGATTCTGTATTGTAGAATAAAAAACCCTTTTAGCTACGTCATATTTTACGGACCCAACATTGAAAATAAACCTTCTGGCAAGCATTATTAAAAGAACTTTTATCAATTGTAATGTGTTGAAGTATTAATTGCTGATTTTTATTCCTCTTTACGTTTATAGCTTACGGTGAATAAAATAGAAGTTAAAACAAAACAAGTTAACGACAACTACGAAATAAATTTCCAAACATACCAAGTGTGAATTTAATATACAATTCATTGAGAATTGCTTAAGCCTTTCCAAAAGACTGTTTCGTTTTAACTTATACTTTAGCGAATATTTAATTTAATATAATATAATATAATGGATTGTTATAAAAATTAAGAATGTGAATTTTACTGATTATGAATGGATATTGAAAGTGATTCCCATTTAATGATTAAAGGATTGACGAAAATAAAAATGAGTCATGTGAAGTATTTTTAAATCTGAGGAATTTAAAGCGATCGGGATGTTTTTGAACAAAAAATATTTTATCAGCATCCATTATTTCCATTGTTGCATTGGTTAAATTAAAAGTTTACGATCTAATAATCCAGGAATCAATTTAAGCTGCATTCATGAAACAAATGTCTTAACGCCTCAACAATAAACCACTTTTAATATGAAATATTTTCAAAAGGAGACGACAACATTACCATTAAAATCAACGAAAAACCTGATTTGTGAATAATAAACATGAGCGTTGATAGTCGTAGTCAATTTTATGATGTTTTTAATTTTCTTTGAATCAAAGAATTTGATTAAGTTTTTGTATCAGAAGTTGATCGGGTTAATTAAAAAGGCAAGTGCCTAGTTTGAAAAAGCTCACACTCAAATTCAATTTCAAGAGATATAAAGTTCGATTGAGCTGATTCAGATTGTGAGTTGAATAAGTAAAAAAGTTAATTGTTAACTCTAAAGTTGGCAGGTGAAAATATAGGCGAATAATTTTCGAGGAATTTCGATTTTCTTAAAAGAAAGATCAAGATTACTCATTTGTAGAATAAAATTCCAAATCAAATTTAAAACGGCCAATTAAATTATTCGCACATGCTCATAGAATAATGTCGTCCAATATTCAAGATTTACTTCCACCTGTTTCGATTCTTTAAAAGATAATTTAATTAAAATACAAAGGAAAGAGAGGAATGAGAAAAAAAATTCATTGTGTTAGTTTCATACAACACATGTACAAATGTTTAATAGAAGAAAAAATTCTCATTGACTTGTTGACTTGTCAACGGATGTTCCAATATGATAAGCTCCATGTGGTTTTCACAAGCCTACTTTCATCAAGCGAAAGAAAAAAAGAAACGTTGAAGCCTATGATTTTACGCTCTGATGATGACTACAGTTTCCTCTCTTAATATTTGCATAGTTTTTGAATATTTTATTATCTTTAAAATTTCTGGGACAAAAATATTAAAACTACCACTTAGCAAACCGCAGAGTAGAATTGAAATAGACAGGAACTTAAAAGTCTATTGACTAAAATGTTTTTTTATTTTGAAAAGTCTCTAAAATTAATGAAGGAATACGAGTCTCTAATTAGGCAATGATGATATTGACTTTTTTTTTTAAAACATGCCTGTTAAAATCTCTAAGCAATTTTAAATATTTTCTCTTTACGATAAAAGATGAAACAATAACTCTCAACTGATAGCAGTCGATCATTAAATGATTTGAGCCATGAGTTGGCAAAACTTAAGCTATCTATCCACTAACTTGAATCTTGAACCAACATGACTTTAAATTCGGATTTCTCAAACTATGATTTCTTTTTAAATGAAATCTGAGTGCTCGTTGTTACGTTTAGATATCATTTTCGATAATGAGAAATGTTAAACTTCACACGTTGCAAGCACGAGGAAAAATATCGAAACATGATCTTCTCTTTAGAAATGCTTCAATTATTAATGAGATATTAGACGCTTTAGAAATATTGTTTGGATTAAATGTTCCTTAGATGAGATTGCAGAATTAATAGCGCAATAATATGGTCCAACGTTACAAGGCACTTTTTGACCGTTTTGTGATCGATTGATTGAACAGCCGAACAACGGTTAGTAATTTTCAGACAAAGCGCTAACAATGGTTATTTTAGAGAAATAACTTTTCAAAAACATCTAATAACTAACCAGTGAACTTTCTCAATAGGGATCTTAAAGATTTTTGGGAACTCTTTACGGACAAAAGGCAGCATCAAATAAAAACATAAGTATCGTATTAAAAAATCGAAGATGAAACTCGGCGAGTTTAACACTTACATGTAAGTAGAATAAACAAGATTCATTTCTATAATCGCTTGATTCTTTCTTCTGAAACTTCTCTACTTTACATACATATTCATCATTTGTGTTATTTTCTTTTTTATGATGTAAGTAGCGACTTCACCGTACTCACAACTTTGACTTCTTTTGCAGTTTAACAATAAATTGGAATACAGCAAAACATTTTTGGAAAGTTTAAACTCTTTTTAAGAATTAGTCTTTTTAAAGATTATATTTTATTCAACTATTATTTTTAGTTAGATGATTATTCTAATTTTAATTTTACTTAAATTATTTTGTTCGTATTAAACTGACCATAAATTAGTTAATCATTCATTTAGCTAAATTAATCATGCAGATAGTTTTTTTTTACCAGATATTGCTTAAATATTGATATTTATTTAAAAATGGTCAATTTTAGAGATTTAATTTATTTCTTACATTTATTCAGACGAGAAATCAGAAGCTAAGTGTAAATTATTTCGGGCATAGTGAGATGAAATTAATTTTTACAATTCACAAGACTTTAAGTAAATTATTTTAGAGTTTGAAGCATCACGAAATGTTTTTTTGTTATTTATGCAATCATTTCGATGCTACCTAAATTTTAACGCTTTAATCAAAAACGTTTATTTATGTAATTGAATAATATCTAACAGAATTTGAATTGCCCTAAACATTTTTAATTCAATTTGAATTTCTCTTGTGCTTTTTGAGAAGGCGATAAATCTTAATTGCAATCATTTTTTGATAATTCTGATATCGTCTTATAATTCTTCAAAGAATGGTTCGGAACTTCAGTTTCAGATTCGTCATCATGAACATTAATTTCTTCATCAGATAGACTTGGATTGGGACTCATTGAAGGTGAACGATTTGTTGACGTTGATGATGCAACATTATTGCTTTGTGCAAGAGATGCGGCATATGATCTCGCTAAACCTAATTGGGCTGAAGCTGCTAGTAGTGCAGCAGTAGACGGATTCAAAGCTCGAAATGCTGAATGTTCACCGCCCATTAATAATGGAATTGATGCTGTGGCTGATGATACGATCGTTGGTGTTGAATTGTTCGTCTGATGAAGGTTTTGACTCGTTACTTGATGATTTTGAGGATTGTGCTGTTGAGGTGATATTTGGTTTGGTATATTTTGCGGTGAGCCAGGGATGAAAGCGGTTTGATTTGAGGTCGAACTGGTGTTGCTGTGTCGTTGGTTTGGAGATGAACCTCGCTTCAGTAAATTCATTCGTTGATGCCGACGCCATTTGGCCCTCCTGTTAGAAAACCATACCTAAATATCAATTTATAAGAATCTTTTGTTAGTCATAAAAAGACTTATATCCTAAGTCAAAAATTCCTTATTATTTTCTTTAGTTTATTAAGAAAATCTTTGTTTATCAAAGTGATTAAATTAGGAAATATTTTTCTCTAAAAATAGTTAATTGTTCTTTTCTCCCGATAACCTCCCGAAAAAAAACTTTTTTAATTCCTTAAATAAGTTGACTACATTTTATACACGTTTTTTATAAGGAATTTAGGATTGCCAGGCCAAAGTTCTCTGACTGACTCTCATTACCTGAACTCTTGCTTCACTGAGTTGTGTTCGTGATGCTAACCGTTCTCTCGTACTAACGCAAGGATAGTGCGACTTATCAAACTCTTTTTCTAATTCTTCTAACTGTTCAGGGCTAAATGTTGTTCTGTTTCTGCGAAATTTCGGTTGATCACCATCAAGACTCGATGAGTCCTCACCTTCAATATCTATAAATTAATCAGTTACATTTTTTATGAAAAATTATGCACTTAAAATCATGTTCCTTATCAAAGTGCAGTAAAAATGATTAATTGTTATATTTTACATTATAAAATGAAATTATCAAAAAAAATTCTTACCTATAAGTCGATTACCATCGGGAGAACCCAATGTATCATGGGATCCTGAATTTGGTGATCCTAGAGTAACAGGGGTAGTTGCTGATCCTGGTGGGGTCATATTCGGCATTCCATGCCCACTTGGCCACATATGTGTAGGAGCAGGCCAAGGAAAACCTTTTGTAAAGAATGTTAAGATCATATGTAAGTATCAAAGGATAACAATTTTTGGTTTATGTTAATTTTACCCGAATAAGGATGTGGTGGATAAAGACCGTAACCTGCAGCACGGGCAAACTCTGCAGCCGCCCTTTCTGCAGCTCGATTTCTTAGTATTCGATTGATTGAGGATACTGATGGTGCCGTAGCATTTGTGCAAACGCCTAAGGTATTCAAAAATTATTAAGTATTTATTATTAATGTTCAAGAATGTAATCTATATTTGATCGATTATTGACTTCACATCGTTTTCCTGTTCCTATTGAACATCATCAAAAGTGATTTAAACAGCGTGAATCTCCAAATACATTTCAAAAGGTTAATTAAATATGAATTTTCGGTGGCGTGTTATACCTAGCACGATAACAATTTTCTTGCTTCTCGCGCTTGGAGTTCAAAAGCTTTAAAAATACGCCGGCGTTAAAAAAATGTAGAACTCAATAAGTGAATAGAGCCGGCAATTATTTTCAATATTCTTGAAAGTATACAAAACTCATTTCATCGATTCATAGTTATTTTACAAACACTGCCCACAAAGATTTCATCATGATTCATTTATAACAATGATGGGTATCGATTGGAATTAGAAATTGATTCCTTTCTCATACTGTCCATAAATTTTTTTTCTCACCAATGAATGAGAATAAAAGTTAAAAAGCGATAATTGAAAGCTTGTCGATCTTTTTGAATGCTTACAAAACCCCAGACAAAATCTTATAAAGACTAAATCTTAAAACACTTTTCTATAAAGAAAACATTGAATGGTTATAACGAATTTTTTTATAAACAGGAATAAATTAAATTGACATAAGTATCAATGAAGTTCCCATTTTTTTATGTTCTTTGGTTCACTGTGATTAGTCCTTAGTTTAGAATGAATCATTTGCATTCAATAAATGACAAATATCTTATCAGGAATGCTGCATATAAGAATTGATAAATAAAAATATGGTTTAAAGTTGGAAGTTTTGTCAGATATTTCCACACAATTATTTCATATTTGTTTTAATATTTGATATTACAATGATGCAATGATAATCAAAAAATAGTTAAATATAAAAAAACATAATTTAACTGATGAAACTATAACACAAGTTTTCGTTTATTATGGAATTGATGTAATTTCTTGAACACATAAGAAATTGCAATTGATTATTGATGAGCTTCTATTTAAAATTCAAAGCATACAACACTTGCTGTTATGTTTTTATGTTGCTTTTAAGTAATTCATTTTTTTTCTTCAGAAGCATGATGTAAAATTTCGATTGTTTCTTGACATTACTGATAACAATCGCAAACAAACAAGTCTTTACTTCAAGCTCAATAAGTAAATGCAAATATATTGCTTCCATCCGGATGTTCAACTGAATTCAAACAACATTAAATCTTGCTAATGTGACATTTACCTTCAGATATTAATCGCTCTCGAATTTCCCATGCAAAAATAGTTGGATTTTCTCGTTTGTACTGTTCAATTTTTGATACAACAGCTGGCGTTGCGACTTTAGGTTTCGATCCTCCAATTAAACCTGGTGGTCGTAAGGTCCCTTTAACGAAATTAAAATGAAGAAGTCATAAATTAGTCGTAGTAAACATGAGCGAAATATAAAGTTAATTCCATTAAAGAAATTCATTGATAATTTATTGTAAAATGCCGATCAGAATCAACATATTAATATTGCATAATATCATATCAAGATTTACGTGGTAATTATGTCTAAAAGCATTATAGCATACATTACAGATACAACATGTGAGAAATTGTAGAGAGCGCACTTTGTAAAATATATGGAAATGCACGAAAAACCGGAAAAAATATATCAACTACCGTATCAGAATGTTCAAATCTCTGTGTTTGTTGTATTGTTCATTTTTTGTTAGTTCGCACAAAGCAACAGATAGAGAAGAAAGATCTTATGAAACGAAGGAGAAAATTGTTTGGATATGTAGCTTTAGTGCATCAATCATTGATTGAGGATGATAATTTGCTTTTTATAAACATTGTTGGTTGTGATTTTGCATACACACAGGCATCGAACATTTTATTTTTTTTCAATGAGATTAAGCAAGTATTATTCGACCTTGATGATTTTTATTTATCACCTTGCTTATTTTATCGAATATAACTTTGCAATTTCCAATTTTCATTCTTTCAGTTTTACCTTTTTTGATGAATTTGGTATTTTTAAACATTAAGTTGTTTATTTTGTTTAGCATTTTCTTACTGATTTTTGTGCATATCTGAACTTTAGACATTAATAACTTCTTAAATATCTAAAGTAAAGCAACATAAAATCCATGAAAGTAAAGCATGAATTATCCAATTTTATGGTAGTTTTACAATATTCGAAAATTTATTGAAATATTTATATTAAAAATTTGAGGATTCAAGCTATTTGAATATTGATTCTCGGGTAAAAATATTAATTTGAGAGCCAATTTAATGTGATTTAAACTATCTTTCAAACTTAAAAATAAAATAAATTCGGTATTGTTGAAATGCATTCGTCTTAACATTTTAAAATTATTTTAACTTCCTTCACATTCCATCAATTTTATTATTACCTATCACAACTAAGGGTGAAATGGTATTAAAACTTTCTTTTCCCTACTGGAGAACATTTTTAAAACCCTTAGTCAATATTTATATAAAACCTGAAGCATACTTATTAATTATTAATTAATTAAGATAGTAAATGGAACTCACCTAAAAGTTTTGAAACAGCTCCTTGTTGTGTAAGCATGTGTTGAGCCAAATCATAGCCTCTTAATCCAAATCTTGATAACTCTAATAGTCTATGCTGTGATACTAGTGCACCTAATGTGTTGGCGTTAGGTGCTCCCGCAAAGAGTGGTGCAGCTGCAGGAGCAGAAGGAGAGGAACCAGGTACGTTAACATTAAGATTTGGTGTCATTCCCACTGAATATATGTAAGATAAGACGTAAGTAAAGTTTTTTCTTTTTACTTTTATGGTGAAAGTGTGAAACTTTTATATTTTCAATAATCAAAGAAAAGACCGTAACGCATACCCTGAATCAAATTGTGTTCGAAAATTTAAATAGAATTTAATTGACATTAAAAGAATTTTAGCCTCATCTTTAGTATGAGATATGAAAGAAAATTTTAAATTATAAAATTATTAAGAAATTTTGGAAGTATGATTTGTGGATAAATATAAAAAATGAATTTATAGAACGATTTTAAGTATCTAACTTCTTAAATCCATCAGTTGATCCATTAAATATTTGGTTTATTTGTGAAAAATATTCGTACGAAATACTTTAGCAAATGCATAATAATAAGTAAAACTCGCTATTGATTATTTTTCAATTTCAGTTTAAAAATTCACAGGTTGATTTTTCTTGAATTGTCTTTTAAATGTACTTCTTGAAGCCTTAAAAAAGTGTCATCGATTACACCTTTTGCACAATTAAAAATAATGCACTTTAAAGTAAAAACAAAACCATGAAGATTATGAAAGCACAGATACGTAATCAGCGGGTATGTATCAGAATAAAACCAAATGTCACTTTCAACTTATGTATATTGCCTGATCTACATTGACTTCCAAAATTGCTTAACATTTAAATTTAAAATTCTTTTCCCAAGCTCGTTGAGTAATTCTCGTTAGAAATAAGAAGCAACTAGTCACAAATTGAATTAAACAGATATTTTGCATTTTCGTTACTTGTGTGTAGAACTTGAAAGGTCATTTAAGCTTATTATAAAACAAGAGACAACTTTTTCATGGAATTCTGACAATTTGCTCATCGAACAAACTTCAATAGGTGTTTAACAAGAAAATAAGTTCACAGATTAAGACTAATATCAGAAAGATTCAATTTCATTCTTAGAAATATTATTAACATGTAAGTAAGCATTGTTGTGTGTGAATAAATAATTGAAATATGTCTTCTAATTCCTCACAAAGGAGTTTTGAAAATTATTCCCCATTTTCTTTATTGTTAATGTATCCAAAGAGTTTAATTTCTCCTGGAATCATTTCTTTTGTTAAAATAAGTAATAAAAACCATTAAAATTCTTTTTATTATTGAGTAAAATATTTTTAGACACGAAATTATAAAGTGTCATGTAAAAGGAGACTCTGACACACATATATGTAGAATAAGAACGTGAAGAAATAAGTATAAAATCTTGTATAAAATATTTATTCATTGGCAAGAAAAGTTTGATCATTTGTGAAAAGCAACACATCATAAATAATTAATTTTGGCATTCTGAATTATGTATGTTCACTTCTCCAGACATCACACGTCTTTAAAGCGAAGTCTGTAAATTCCCGTAAAGAAGTCAAGAGTATTCTTTAAATTAAATCAAATTTCTTGTGAAACAATAACAAGTATTGTTTTATGATTGTTTGTCGATTGTAAAAGAGCATTGTATACTTATGTATGAAAATAGTTGAATCTTGCAAAAATAAATCTTGTGTTTTGCACCGTCGGCAATTAGTTCTTTATCTGATAAAAAATTAACACAAACGTAACATGAGGAAAAATAAACACTGACCCGGTGATAATGGTAATGAAGTTTGAGTTATTCCAGTAGTAGGATTTGAACGCGGTGGATCCATCGTCCAACGAGATGATGGTAAGGTTAACAACTCACTTCCAATAGCAGATCCAATCAACATAATCTAATAATATGTGGCACCAACATAAAAGACTACTTAAACTTTTAAAACTACTTAGTAGTCACTTAGTGTATTCTCTTTCATTTATTCCTTTCACTTGTTATTTGATTTCGTTTCATAAACGCTCTTATTCATTTTTTTCTTTAATTTTTAAAAAAGTTTTTTCTACAATTTTTTTTCTTTAATTTATTTTTTAATTTCACATTGAAATGACACATCTGATCTCATTGAATCATAAAACTATACTAAGTATGCTTGTATTAATTAATCGTTTGTAAACCGGTTTAAGTTTGATCTATAGCAATCAAAGCGAAAAAATAAAATAAATGTAATTGGTCAACAATCAACTTCACGCGTCTGAATAAAAAAATCATGGAAAAATTTACACAAGTTTACGTGTGCGAGAGAAAATCAAGACGATATTGCAAATAGATGTATATGCTTATGGTAGCTGTTAACGACTGAAAAGAAAAGGAAACAAGAAGCTCGAAAGATTAAACAAAATCAAGCACCCGTGAGCTTCTCTTATGTGTGTGGAAACAAAATAAAAAAAGAGTTTTTTGATTATGTATACATTTAATAAAGAAAAAAAAACATAAACAAATAATTTACAGGTGAAATGTATGGAAACACATACAACATAATATTTACCTGTGAATTTCAATCCTCTACACATCTCTTTCTATCGTTAGCCTTTTCAAGTTACATTTATACACAGTCTCAATTGGTATATTGTTGATTCTTTCATTTACTCACACAATTTTGTATTTTTTTACACAGCCAATGAAACCGTCTTCAGTAACATTTGCTCCCTCATGCTCATTGAATGTGTTTTATGAGGTTTTATGTTCTGTGAATGGTAGCACCCACTGAGCTGGTTTAGGCTTGCGTATGGCTTTAGGAAGAACAATTTAACAGGAGCGAAAAGTATTTGAAAGTGTAAAAAAGGTTGAATAAGAAGTTGAAGTAACAAATCCATCGATATATCGTTCTGACTAATGTCTAGGTCGAGAATTTTCTAAATTTCACCAAATTTTACTTTTACTCTAAATAAAAAAAAGTTTTATAGCATCAAAAAATTGAAAATATCGTAAATAATTTCTTTTTACTTTTTAATGTTCATGAACTTTACCTAATTTCTTTGTGGAAAAACTGCCAAAACATTACTTAAGTAAATAATATAAAAATTAGCTATTTTTAGTTAGTGTACATTAATTTTACATAAAGTCAACGTCTATTTTTTTTTAGCGGGCGGGGTTTAATTAGCTTCTGTATTAAATGAATTGCTTGCATTCTTTCAAATATTCGGTTTAAAGCAAACACACAAAGCTAATTTCATTAAGCAAACCATTATAGTGGGTGTGGTTTCGATGGATTTTTACATTTATTTTTTAAAAGCTTTAAAAACCGTAAAGAAAGTTACCAATAGCTTCTACCTAACAAGAAAAATTCACGAATAACTTTATGTGTGGAATGATTAATGTAAATACAATTAGCAATTGATGGAAGTTTTGTTGTCAATCTTGATAAATAAAAAAGGAAAATTTGCATTCAATTCAAAAGGAAAGTCATCATCATATCAAATAAGGTTGATTTAAAAAATGTACACCATCTCAAGCGTAATGAAATTAATTTGAGTCAGTAACTGTTAGAAAATATGTATTAATTATGTTTAAATGGAAAATTTATGCAAATAAAATCTCCATTGTTTCACAAAAAAAAGAGACTTTAATCAGATTGGGTATAAAAAACTGTTGTGGAATAACATGAAGTATGATGGATAAGCCATTACTTAGGAAATTGAAATAAAGCTTCACCTAAGCTAGGAAATTATACTTCATGTCAAGAATGGTAATACATTTTAAGAGCGCTATGAAATGACGTAAAATCACAAAAAAACTTAAGCGTTTTGTGAAAGGCAATTAATTGTTAATGTATAATTTATATGCAAATTATTGTACGGTTATTCTCAACACTGCTGCTTTTTCAAAGGTTGAAACATAAAACGAATACCATATTTATCACAATTTGAGAATCAAAGATAGTTGATAAAAGCTTTCACCTAAATTTCCCATTCAATTATAAGTAAACATAATAATGTAAAAGAAATAAATTACTGAATGATACAAGAATCTCTTTCTGAGTATTTTGTGAAAATTAGTTTACATTTTTACACTATCATCAGTTTCAGGACAAGTGCTTTCATTTGTTAATCTCAATAAGTAAAAAAAGTTATGGCTTTGATTGCAAAATCACTGTTGTTCGTTACGTCGTAATATGATCTGTTTTAAAGCGTGTAAATGCTTAATTGGGCAGAAGATTTAAAAAAGTAAACAAAATTTATTTTTAAAAGCATTAATATTTCAAACATTTGTAAGTTTTGTTTGGAGTTCTTCAAAACATTCGATATCATTCAGGAGTTTGATAAAATTTGCAACTTATACAAATTTTTCACCGTCTTTAAAACGTGAGCTACTTTTTTATAGCATAGAAAAAGTTTCGTGTTAGTTCATTATAAAATTCTTTCCTAAATTAAATTCAAATAACCGGTTCCAATAGCATCAATTACCAACATACACGCATAAGTTACCATTTTGCTTAAAAAATGTAGTTTTCGTCTGCAATTACCATTCATGAATAATTCATGCTTCATCGCTTATTGTGAAAACGCCTAGCCTGCTTGCACGAAATTACATTCAATTAAGTTTTATAGATTTTTGGATCCCCTATGAATTTTTCACTTACCTACTTCGTTAGTCATTGCCTAGTTTTGACTTTAAAGTATAGATAGTAGTTATATTTACAAATTTAATGTTCAACTTTCAAAGCAAAACCTTAATCAGTCTCAACAACTTTTCAAAATTGCACTGAACATTCGAAGATTTGGATTTATATAAATGTAACAATTTAAGCAAAATATGTAAAGCATAATATTTACATAACAACACAAAGTATAAATTACATTTATGTGAATCTAAACTTTCAAGTTAAGGGTAGTTAAGAAATTTTAAAAGAATATTAAAATTAGATTTGATGAATTTTTTCTTTAATATTTAATTCTATTGTACGATGGATATATTTTTTTGATAAATTATTAATACAAGCATTTTTGTATTAAGTAAAAAATGTACAGAAGTAAAGCAGCATGTTGTGTTTTTTAATATGCGTTACTAAATCACTTCTTTGTAAATAAAACTAAGCATGTACGGAAAATTATCATGGAATATTTATTCCCCTTTTCTAGTTGGTAATGAGTTGGGCGGAGATTGATAATTACAAACATGGAAGCAAAAAACCGCACTAACGAACGCTTCGCTACATTTCATAACGACAGATGAATAGAACACAAAACTTTTTTTTTTTACTAAGAAAGAAGAGCTCTTTTAGACATTTTTGTGAATAAAGTTAATTTGTTAAAGTCAAATGCAAATTGGTTACTTCTGTTTTTTCTTTCTTTTTTGACGGACGATTTAACGTGTTTCTCAAGTAATCAAGTCATTTATAACGGATCAAGAAATTATCTTCGATCTGGGTGGCAATGCAATTGTTACTTTATTTATGCTTGTTTGAATTTCACGGGAGACTGCATTTTAAATAAGAAAATGGAAGATTTTTCACTCATTTTTGAATACATTTCATTTGGAATTGTTTAGCAATAAGTTCACAAAACAGTTTTCATGTCTCAAATAACAATTCATCAGCGCCTTTCATGCTCTGCTATTCACGAAACTATTTAAATGTTTTTTTTTCTTCTCACCTCAATAGGAGAGAAAACATCGAGCTCTGCCTTTTCATTAAAAGTATACACACAGCTCGAATCGCACAATAAAAATAAGAAAAAAAATGTGGCGGAACAAACAGAACAAAACAAGTAAAACATTATAGATAAAACTTTGTAGATAAATAAAAGGGAAGCAACATATACATAATACTTAAGCAACTCATGAAAAGGATAGAGAAATAATTATTTAATAACAAACTTCACAACTTTGTTTTCTTCTTGATTTCTTGTTCACTTTTACGCTTCTGCTACTAAATTGCTCATAAATTCATAAATATTACTTTTCTTTTGATCACAACTGTTCTTTAAGAGGTGTTTCCTCTGTCTTCCTATGACCATACGGAATGATTTCATCGTGAAGTCTTTCGAAATTGATAGCTGTGAATTTTTACAAATTCTTTATTTATTGTTTGAGGTTTCCAATGCTGAAAACAAAAAAAAAGCTAAATTGTTTGTGTTGTGAAGCATTAAGTTATCATTAATAAATTTACTTGATTATATGGTTCATGTTAAGCCACCTGTTAGATGAATGCTGAATTCGATTTTGTTTGAGATAAGAAGGATTTTTCTGAACGTATAAAGTTCGAATCATTGATTCAATCTAATCAAAATCAAATATTTCTCTCAGCAGTCAGTCTCGTGATGAAAGAAAGGAAAGGAAAAAACTCAACACAGCTCTTAGCGGAAAATCAATTGTGTAATCAAATTAAAATATTATAGCATCAATTACAAGTCTTCTGACTTCGCTTCAATATCATCATCTCCTATTTTCAGATGTAGTTCGTGACTGCCTAACAGTAATACGGCAGCAATTCATTTCTTTTTGCTTCTTGTTCCGATTTTTATATTCATCTATCTCATCCAAGATCTCATCATGTGGCTTAACTTCGGAGCGCTGTTGTGTGAAGTTTAAGAAAAAAAAAATGAAGTTTCATTACGCCCCAGGACACCAAAAATTTTAATTAAAAGTAAATTTACACTCGAACTATCTTTAACAATCGATCTAAACGATACCAAAAACTTCATGCCGTTCCACAAATTTGATGTTTCTAATTTTATATTTAACATTTTATTGGTCCTACGATGTGTTTATTCATGCAGGTTATGATTATTTTCTGCGAAATTATCAGTGAACTTAAACATTGGTTACAACATTTATGAATGATAGATTAAATAAATTTTAGATTATTTAGTTATCATCAATTTTTATGTTATCATCAAAGATGTTAAATTTTTATATTTTAGCCTTTCAATTGAAATTGTTTTAAATTTGGAGAAATTCTTAACAGAATTTTAGATTTTTTAATTTTAGAATTTTTGGATAAACTTGATATTAAAACTTAGAGTGGTTCATAAACGTATAGATAAAGGATTTCGAAATTAATGGAAAAAGATTAACTGAATAGGTAGAAATTACTGCTTTTAAATTCTCCTTACCTTAATATTAAAACTTAAATATATTACTATTAAACAAACTTTACAAACTGCGACTTCAAAAAATTTCTTGTTTAAAAACTTAAATTTTTTGTTTCGAGTATCTGATTAAGCGTTGTTTGATTATTTCCAAATATTTTCTCATTGTTAGAGCTTTTGTTTGAAATTTACTAACCGTTGTTCGGCTGCTTAATCAATCGATCACAAAACGATTGAAAATTGTTTGTAATGTTATACCATATAATAACGCTAATGAGTTTGCAGTTTCACTCAAGAAATTTAATTCAAACAAATATTGTATGTATCTCATTAAATGTAACAATTCCTAAGATCATGATCGTTTCTTTTCCTTTGTTATTCATACGTGGTTTGTGATTATCTTGAGTTTATAATTCCATTTCTATATCGCCAATAGAACACTTTCGTATCTTATCCTAATGTGTATTAAAAAAATATTTCATGAAAAGTGCTTAATTTCTTGTCAACTCATTGAATTTTAATCATTTTAATGATTGATCAGTCTTTATTATTTATATTTACTTCTATTTTCAACAACTTAGATTTGTTATTGGTGAAATGGGTGAAATCGACAGAATTATTCTAATTTTTGTAGAGGTATGGATGGTGTCAAGTTTTCGATCGGCGATCCGATCCACGATCCATCATGTGAAGAAAACATGATGGCGAAATCATTCATGATTCATTCCAGGTACTTACAGATGAAAAAATATAATTTTTCATTTCCCTCAATGTTTAAAAGAAATTCTAAATATATTTAAGTGTAAACTTACTTCCGTAGTTGTTAAATTGGGTTTAAAATTTATGTCAGAATTTCAAATATTAAGTATCAAAATAATTTGTTGTTTTCTCTGTTTGATGATTTTAAGTTTTTCCGAAAACTTTATATCTTTCTTCGAATTGGATAATTGACTTCAATAAAAGCTGATAATGCTAAAATTTTATACAAACATTCGAAAGTATTTCTTAGTTTAAATAGCTATTAAGTCTACAGATCAGTTTGGGAATTTTAAATATTTTTATGTTGACGTGTTTATTTTAAATTGATTCTGATCAATTCTCATTAGGCCACGAAAAAAGTTAATCTAATTAAAATTTATCACCACTTCAAAAGTGTTGAGACTGAGCTTAGAGTAAAATTTATAATGATTTTTTGTCCAAAGATGAAGTCGTAAACACTAATGTTTCAAGAAAGTGGTCATTAAATTTGAATATCGTCACTCGATTCAATCGATAATTGAGTTGCCTTAAGCAACCATCAAGGTTCGTGCACAATCTCTGTCAACATTTTTATGACATTTAAAATCAAGTTGAGGTATACAGACGGAAGAGCTTGATGATTCCAGGTGTGCAGGTGAACGCTGCTTTGAATCGAAACGCTTCAGATCAGCCAAATCAGAATCTTAATTTATGCACCCAAAGACTTCGTTAAATGACATCAATTCGGTAAAACGTTTTGATCAAAGCTTCATATCATTTTATTTTAAAGAAACTTCAAAAGAAATAAAAAAATACTTTCATATGGTTTGCAAATTTATTTACATATTCTCTGTCAACTGAAGGTATCGTGCTGGTACAGAGCGAAAACTAGAAATAAATAAAATTATTTAAATTTGATTGCCTCCTCTCTGGTCAAAGGAATTCAAATGAGTCGCGATAGTAAAACGAAAAGAAAAATAAAGGCCGATAAATCGAAAGGTAAATATAAGAATTAATATCTTCATTTGGATACATTTAAAAAATATGTAAACATATGACATTAGAAGAAAATTGCGGTTGAAAAATATCGAAAACAAAAAATGTTGAAGACAAAAATTGTGGCCTGTGTTTCGAAAATTCAAGACATTCAATTCTTAAAATATAGAATGAAATTTTGGGTATTCAAAATTCTTCGGCATTTCGATTTTCGGCATCTTTTCATTCACAGTTTTCTCCTAATGTCAAACACGTATGTATAAAAATTTATATAAATATAAATTTGGTTATAAGTTTGGTTTTAACACTTCTGAAGTGGCTTATTAAAGCTTATTTTAAACTTCCTCCTAAATTTATTCAAGCGGGTGAAATAAAAATTCAACTCGCATCATTGATATCGTTTATACACTTAAATTCACTCTCAACTCTTCAAAGTTTTATACTTCGCTTTAAATATGTACATATGTTTTAATCTTCACTTCATTAAGAAAACATTATGTATATGCACATACTTATTTGAGATGGTCTTGTTTACGGTTATGGTCTTATTTAGTTATGGCAGGTGTGTTGATGTTCTTTCGATTTTTTGCCAATATTTGAGGTAATAAATAAGCGCAATATTTATTATATAAATACTGAATTAAATTTCAAAAGAAAAATTGTATTTAAAAGAAATTTGATGTCTAGGGAAGAGTTTGGTTTGAATTGTGTCGTCTTATTTGTTTTACAGCAAACTAAGCTTTAGACTAAATGAAAGAAAAATTCTAATGTTTCCGACGCAATCATGCAACTATGACAAATGAATTCAATTATTTTACAGGTTCAGTAGACGATATTTTATTTAAGGAAGACCATAAGGAACACTAAAAAAAATATTTTTTATTTCATATTGTAGTGGATCAAAATCTTGAAACGATTCTATGTGTAACATTTCAATATGATATAATTTCATATTACCTAAGTAATTCAATGTTTAAATCTTTAATCAGAAACAAGTTAATCAAAAAAAATATCGAATAGCAGCCTTAATTTGAAATACTGAAAACTACAAATTTGTCTTCTAATTTGGATAATTCCGACCTTATAAAATATGATATCGTGTTTCATGTCTTTTTATTTTTCATCATGACTGCTTTTAAGAGATTATAATTTCAATTTTAATTTTCGACCACTGAAGATTCAACTAAATGAGAATCACCCTAATTATAATCTAAGGTCTATTGAATCAATGACTGTCACGAATAGATAATGTTGACGTACTGCTTTTTTAGTTTCTGTTTTTCTCGAATGAATTTTAAATGATTGGGTTGAGTAGTCATGAGAATTGTTTTCGCGGCTCTTCACAATTAACGATATCATGTTTTAGCTGGTTGAAAAACATAGATTGAAAAATGTATTTGAAAATAAGATGATAGCTACCGAATGAAAAATAAAAATACCCAGAAGTGCCCACAATAATATGACTTGGTTCATAAAAATCTAATTTGCTCAAGGACGGCTGAATTTCTAAGAAGTGTATTGAGTGAAAATAATATCAAAGAATGAAGATTAAGATTGAAATGTTATTTGAAATCATTGTGTAAAGACGGTTTCAGTTCTTACTGACGTAAACCTGTTACGTTTCAAATTGCCACTTGAAAATTAATTCTTTACAGAACATCAACTCAGAGCTATCAGTTTTAACCCCATGATTCTTTTCGTTGTGCTAAGGTGAAAACAAATTAAACTCACGTGGATGAATCTTGAAGTAGAGAAAAGGATTATAATTATTTCGATATTTGTTCTGAGCATCAAATTATATAAACATCGCCGTGTTTGTTTTTTCTTTTCCTTTTAAGACCCTCTGTTAAATCTGTAATTCTAATTTCTTTTTTCAGGTGAACCGACATCAATGTCCTATTCAAGACCAAAAGCAAAAATTTTGACGTCTTCATATCACCTGTCTAAGAATAAATTAAGGTTACGTCGTTTGATACCTCTTTTATATTTATTTCCTCGTGAAGATGGAAATGTGGTATATAAAATTTAGTGAATATTGATATCAAACTTCTAAAATCGACTATTAAGTGTGCTGAAGAAATTTTGATCGCAAAATATTTCATAAAACACGATAATGATCATAGATTATTTTGTTACGATATGCAAATTCGCATGATTGCTTTCGCATTCAGCTGCCGATAACTGCTGTATACGCAAATATTTTTATGCAGATTAGAAATTGAAGAGTGAATAACTAAATGTCTACCTAAGCAGTCAGTAACTAAATAGCCACTCACATTTTAAAGTGGGAACTTTTTCGTGTAAACTAATTCAATAGTATAATTGACAACTTTCGAGATCAACGAAGTAAATAATGAGATTTTTTATTTTTATTATTTTTATTAAAGAAAGGTCTGCTGACTCTCTTTCTTTGAATTTCTCGTTTAGAAAAAGTAAAATTATGAAAAAAGTTTTGATGTAATTTATGTTGGATTTAAAATATTACAAATTCAAACAATTACGGGACGTTCTTTTATATGATATTTTTAAATCAAAAATTAATGTTGTTAATTTATACTGTCTTTCATTTTAATAATCTTTTTCATAAAATTATCATCTAATTAAATTATTGAATGAAATAATTTCATTGAATTTGTTTTAATTATCATTTATAGACTTTCATATTGACTTAAATATTCTCAAGTCTCAACATAGTTTTAAGTCACTAAAAGTAATTTGACGAAAATCATGAAATAAAAAATGATATTAAAAATGATTCAAAAGTGGTGTTAGCAACGATAGAAATTGATTTATTTGTTATATTTATTCGTGGTTGTTGAGTATTCGTAATAAGAGTTTCGATGGTCTAACACAATACTTTGAAATTTGTCTGAGATTCAACGTTAATTTTGTTGATGAAAGGCTAGTTTACTGACATTAACTGAGTCCAACGCTCGTTAATCGCTTGTTTATTCGAGAATCAGGTTTTGTGTTTTATGTCATTTTTGTTCCTTTTCGTTGAAATAACATTAAAATTGGTTTATTGCTAAGGTGTTAAGCGGTTTGTTTCTGAGTATACGCGCGACTCCAGACTCAAATTGATTAATGGATCATCAGAATGAAGACATTAACTTGTTTATTTAAAACTTTACCTTTATCAGACTATAAAACTTTTATTTTAAATTGATTTTAATGGATTCTAGCGATCACAAAGTATCAATGCTATTTAAATTAGGTGGAATTCTCTTTTAAAATTTAATTCTCAATCAACAAAATATTTCAAGAAATTTTGGTTTTCGAAACGAATTGTAACATCAACGCGTGCATTCACCTGATATTCTTATACATTTTAAATTTGGGTCACGCTTACATCAAACAATCTCATCCGAAACAGCACCTTTTGTTGTTACTTGTTTCGTATATTTTCATTTCAGTGTTGAATAACTTCGGTCTTTTGAGAAACTTATTTTTGACACCAATTTGTTATATCTAATCAGTAGCACCTGAAATCATTTTATAAAATGTAAACGATCTGGTATTGTACAAGTAAAGAGGAAGCACAAGATTAATTGCTTCAAATCAATCAGCATTCCACATACAATAGCATACGCAATGAATTTTGATTTTAAATGGTCATTATTAACGTTACAAAGCGACATCCATAAATGATTGAATGGATGAATGAAAAATAAGAGCTAAAAGAAAAAAAGCATTTAATTGAATAAATGAATTTATTCAGCCCTATATATATTCATCATAAATCTCGTCAGACCTCTGTGATTAAGTGCTTCTTATTTTTCACACATTATAGGTAAGATTCTTTATATCTTCATTTAATTTATATTCTCAGATTAGCTGTTGACACTTTTAAGTCCTTCAAAAGCCGAAACTTTTATGTATCGATATCTCAAGGATTCATCTTGAGTCGCACCGACACGAAAAACATTCTTACACATTGACGCTAAAATATAATTAACGAGGTTAAGCTCGATCTAAAGAGAATTCATAATGTTTAAAGACATTCTTAAAATTGAAAATACATGTATTTAAGTCACGACATTCTCGGTTTTAAAAGCGAAGTACTTTATGTTATCACTCTGTGCAGTTCCTTAGTTTGTTGCTTGTGTTGTTCCTACAAAAACGACCATTTTGCGAATAATATTGTCGCGATTTAAACACGAATATTGGCGCCATTAATTCTGTCAACTAATTAAATTCAACGTTTTTGATTTTTTTTTTTGCTTCTTTCTGTTGGTGTGCTTGTGCTTGTGCACATTTCGTTTTTTCAACTTATTTTTGTTTTAATGTTGGGAGCTTGCAAAATTTTATTACTTTATGCAGCGTAAACAAAAATCAAACAACAAACAAAGTACCTACTTACTCATGAAGAGCAACTTTGTTTAAAGCTTTGTTATATCAGTGGAACGATCGTGTTGTTAATTTAAATGTTTTACTTTTATGATTCGTTCTAATCGATTGAGAGACAGCCTCAAACAAGTTTCAATTATACACTGTGTGTTTATCGATTGCAAGATTTTGCTGATTTAAATGTCCAAAGTTAATATATCTATATTCGGTTTTTAGTACGCTGTAAATTCACTGGCACTGACAGATTTTAATGCTCAGTTAACAATGTAAATACGAAATACGAAATTTTATTGTTAAGTAACTCACTCTTTCAAACTCTGCATCTTTCAAATATTTTATTGTTAAATGCTCGTAAAATCAGCAGAAATATCTCTTTTTAGAGTCTTAACCTAAGTTAAAACAGTTGAGTTGAAATAATTTGCTTTCTTCTTGATGATGGAAGTTTCAAACTCTAAGCTTTATTTTATGATCAATTACAAATCGCTTCTTTATAGTTTCTCCAAGACATTGTATCAGACTATAACTTAAATTATGTCAGTGATCAACAGTGTTAAAAATATTATTATGATAAAACATTGAGATTGTTTGTTTTATTGTTTTCAATTTCTGATTGCTTAAATTTTAGAATGCAAGGGATCGAAATGAATTTCATATCAAATTTAAGAATTTTTTTGTATCAAATGTCAGTTGTTTCCATCAACATTATCACAAGAAACAAATTCAGTAGAATATTTGATGCGAGAAATAATTGAGAATTTACAATTTAACATTAATTTTCAAAAATTAATATTTTCTTCTTGTTGTCATTTTGATTTATTTCAATGCTCTTTGAAATGAAACAATGCGTACAAATTTTATCTGCATTTTAAAGCTCACGACGAGGCGATGAAAGAGCAAAAGATCAATTTATCATAATTTAAACGGATGCAAGAGCGAAAAAAGGTAGCACTGAACGATTCATTTGCTTAATTTGGCGAGACAGTTTTAAAATTAATAACAGGTAAACCCGTAAACTCGTATCGCATTTCAGGTTTGTTTATATCTTTGAGTTAGCATACCATAGGTCGTCAAGGAAGTTATTCTAAAGTCATTCTACATAAAAATCCGATAAGTGTTGAAAATCCTAATTTATTCTTTCTTTTTATAGCTCAATTTTTACTTAGTGTGGTTGCTTTGAATTCAACATCGAAGACGTTTTAATTAGGTGAAATAAAATGAGAAAAATCGATCGAATAAAAATTTAAATAATTTAATTTATTTCTAGTTTTCGTTGAACATTCCTTTTCCTTCGTTTGCGTTTTTTTTATATTTCTTGAAACATATTCAACAGAATGTTAATTAATTTGCAGACACATTGGAATTATTCGTGTGATAATTTATACTCTGTTGAACGTTTATTCTTTGATCATCGCTCGAGTCACCGATTTATTTAGACGAATGTTTCTTTTAAAAACTTTTTTAACTTCTTTGCATTGTCTGATTATTGAATCTTTATTTAAACGTTTGACGACATTTCTTTTATTTAAATAAACTATTAAAGAATTCTTACTTACAAATTTAAGGAAATGTTGCAGAGAGCATTAAGATTAGATAAAGGTATTCATCGATTCGACCTTTCATGACATTTATGTTACGTTTGCATACAAGAAAAGGTGATCACGCAATGTAAGGAATAAATTGCTGCTACCTAAGAGAAATGAAGAAGGCAGATGATGCTTGACTCATGCGAAAAAGGAAAGTGAAAATAAAACATCATCTTCCGCTCACGACATGTCATTTACTTTTATTCTAAATATATAATTACAGTACTCAATGACTGTTGACGTTATTTTATTATTTAAGTCAAATACTGATACGAACCTTTTAGAAAATTTACCTACAATTTCTGACATCAGTTTTTTATCTATGAAATGCATAAAGTTATTATTGTTATATTTTGTTCACGCGATATTTTCGTAAACATCACAAGAAGAAGATTCTTTATATTTTTATTAGTTTTTAATTATCTAATCAGATTATTGGAAGAGAAGAATTTTCTGTAAAGATTTCAACACAAAAAAATATCCAGACTCTGATATTCATACTCAGAAAACATATAAGTCAGAGAACATGAGGAAATTCAATATAAATTTATTCAGAAATCAAATTTAAACTCATAATCTTTTCAATTTTCTGAAAAGCATTTCTGAATGATTGAATTTATTTTACGCTTGATGTCTTTCTTGAATATCAGGTCTCGTAGCTTGCTGTGAAATATTTTCGACATGTTATGATTGCTTGAAGATTTTGAAATAATTTAAGGTGATTTTGTGCTTCTTGAGTTCTAAGAAGAATTTATCTAATTTTTGTATAATATGTTGATAAGTGTTCCAAATTCTTCTGTCCAAAACTTTTTCTTATTCGGAGACAATTTTGAAATGAGTTGAAATTATTTAAAGTTTCAATTAATAATGAGATTGAAATAATGTGTAGATGTTCTTACAAGCAGACATATGCAACTGCAACATGATTATGACGGCATTACTTGTATTCATTGGGTAATAAAAAAGACTTGATTTGGGAAAATGTCTTTATTTAAGCTTTACCATAACTCTCCCTATAAGTGTTTTCATATTTTTTGTCAAAATTTAGCTAAATGTTTATTTAATTTTCCCGTTAAAAATTTAATTCGTTAAGGTTTTCATGTTTAATACTTATAAGTTTTAGAAAAATAAAATAGGTAATTTATATCTTATACTAAGAAAAAGTTTTTGAATAATTAATATAAGAATGATGTCTAATTAATACAATTTCAAACAAAAGTAATCATTTAAACCTTGATTTCTCTCTTTATTAATTAACTTGTAAAATGTAAAGAGTAATATTAATTCTTGGGGAACTTATGTGATTCTAATGTTTTGACTTTAACGCGAGAGAAAAAGAATTCAATTATTTGTTAATTTGGTGATAGTGTTCATGAAAACGTAACGATATAGGAGAATAATTGTTGATAAGTAAACTCGAGTGAATAAGGGAAAACATCATAACGCTGACATGTCGTATTTAGCAAAATTCATTATTATTATTATTATTATTGCGTTTTTAATTCTTTTCCGATCGAATACGACACAATTTTTCCCCAATCAATTTTTGTTCGCGTGACCGGCAACTGTCTTCGAAGTGCTTTAAACGTCGTGTCAGACATGGTTTGATAGTTTTCTGATATTGCCATCTGGTAATCTTGTTCACTATCTTCAACCAACTTTATAATTTCCTTTGCAGTTTGCACTTCATTCGTAATAATGACAGACTCGCGGCATTCTTTAGATGACACAAGCTGAACATTTCCATCTTCATAGTAATGCACCTAAATTGAATGAAATAAAGTTTTGACTTTGTTATGCTCTAATTTTTATCTGTTTACCTGAACTTTTAGTACACCTTTAACCTCTGCTGCTCCCGATCCTGTGTTCGAGAATGTAAAATTCCATTGCGAACGCCATCGACCATTCCAATAGTTTTGAGGCTGAAACTGATGATCTTCAATACACAATGACAATGTGATCTGATTTGTAGACACGTCATTGCGACCAAAAACAGAGCACACGCCACGACGATAATGATTGGCAGTATATTGAATTGCTTCTACATCTAGAGCGGAACGCCATGGCTCAGCAATTGCGTCTGGCTCATAGTTTTGGAATTCTGATGCTTCTTTTCTCAAGTGATCATATTTAAAAGATTGCTTCGTACGGGGATCGAAAAATCGTCCGCCACCTTAGAAATTGTTAATATCATTAATAATGTGTATGCAACAAAATATATAAGTGTTGCATTTGCTATAAAATAAACTCATTAACTTGAAATTTATGAAACAATTCGTTAATATATAGCCGAAATTAGTTTACTAAAATTTTAAATTTCGAGTTGACGATGTGTCATCATGGAACTGTTTATGAGTCATCTGATATTTACTATTTTATCTCTTAAAATGTCACCGCCCATTTCCACCCTTTGATTAGCCTTTCCATTTGTGATAATAATTGTAATAATTTAATGCGAGATTACACAGTTCACACTATTTATCTGTTGTATTTTGATAACAACTTTTTCTAAATTGTCAAATATTGTAAGAAAAACTAAAAAATTACCTAGATCATTAAATTCCGAAATAAGTGCGAATGAATCAGTACTATCAAGTCGAACTGGAGTTAACTGATCCTTGTTATATTGTGCAAATGCTGAGCCAGCTTTTTCTTTAAGTAAATTATCATTTTTCAATAAAACACGAACATCATTGAAAACTTCATTAAACTCTCCTGAAAAATGAATCAATTTTAGATTTTTTGAGCATTTTATTGCAATAATATTTACCAGGAGGTGCATGTAGAATAAAATCAGACACTATTCGAACTTTTTCAGTTTCAGAAATTTCAGAAATCTCTTCCATTTCAAGAATTAAAATTTTAAAATGATTTTAATTATCAATGTAAATATGTTTACTAATCGATTGTTTCTTTGTCTGACTGTCAACATCAGCCTATATCACAAAAAATTTTTATGTCCGACTGACCGATAGGTTCTGCCCATGCCCCTTTTTTTAAAAAATTCAACCGTTACGAAAACTAAAGATTTAATATTAAACGAATTCTTTCCTATCAACATAATCAACGTTAATAGGTGAATCTAGACAATACAAAGTGTTGCATTCATTTTTAAATGTTAAAACTGTTATTTAGTCATTTTCTGCATAATATCTAATTAAAAATAAAATCCAATAAATATTTAATTAAAATTTTATTGTCATTCATAGAGAAAGTGTTGTTTGAAGCCAATTGCAATGGTACAAAATTTAGATTTTTATCTTCATTTGAAGAAACAAAAATTGTTTTACTTCCAATGTAACATTCTTGAAAACTGAAGTTTAAAGTGGTGAAAATTAAATTTCAATGATTTGGAAGAATATTCCAAATGTCTTCGGTTCATGACTTTTAAAAGTACAGCAGTTGTGAGATTAGAGGATAATATTTGTAGAAGTGCATTGCGGTTCATAGTTAAAGACATTCTCTTTTAGAATATACTTTTAAAAACACGTAAATTGAGCTTCCACATCGCATAGATATTATTCTTTCGAATTTGACAAAAATCAGTTGGTGTCATTGTAAGTATCAAACTTTGAAAGAAAATCCTTCATTAACAAAACACAACAGTTTGGGAGTAATTCTAATGAATGGTAGTTAATAATACGCTTAATATCATCGATGTTTTAAATCCAATCAAATTGATTTCTTGTGATGTTTTTATATTTTTCAAATGGTCGTATTATACGAAATGAACGTTTCTTAGTTCCTTTTCTACGCTTTCATTGAAATCTTTTGAATAAATTGTACTAGATGAAGAAGTGAACACATGAACAGAAAACTGTATGTAGGTATTGGAATTGGTAATAATTACTCAATAAATTTATTAAATTCTTAAGATATATCAATAAAATATGATGGAGAATTGTTTAAAACTGTTCACAAGTGCTTGTGTAATAATATAAAATTAAAGGATTGTCAAAAAAAAGGTGAAAAACCTGAAAAATAAAGTTTTAAAGTTCTCTGTGCCAAATAAAACATAAAAATCCTACACTATTCCATCATTACCTACTAACACTACATTATTTCCTTGTTTTACGCAAGCGAATACTTGAAATTCCAAAGCAGAGAAGAAAACATTAAAAAAAGAAAAGACTGTGCTTCAAGAAACGTGAGTGTAACATAAGGAGAGTTTATTCAATGCAGATTACCTGTGAAGTGTGAAAAAAAGTGTTTTCATCTGCTAATACTATTTGTTCAAATAAATAAATCTTTTTCATGGTCTGATAAATGTTCATCGCAAATAATATGATAAATAGTGAAATAGAATGTACCAAAAACATAAACAATTTGTTTAAACAGAAATTTTAAGAAAAGAAAAGATGGCAATTTCCATACTTTTATATACATCAAAGTGAATATGAAAAGCAAGATTAAATCTTAATTTGCTCCTGCTGTTCAACATACAGAAGCTTCTATCACAAGAAAAAAAAGAGAACAAATTAAATTCTAAATAAACTATGGCAGCGATGGAATTTCTTCCTATCTGTGATAATTTGTTCAATGTTATTTCATTCTTCACTTATTTCTGTGATTGCGTTTTTGATATCGTGTTAGGCTATGCATTACTAGAACGAGGAAAAATCAATTTTTTCATCACTGTTGTTCTTATCATTAGTGGATCCTTAATTCTATCTCAGGTAGGCAATTACACTTTTGAATATTTATTTGAATGAACTTTTTCCATTAAATATGATGTCCTATAACGTTAATTTATTTTTTAGATTGTATCATTAAAGTGGTACTTGAAAAGGAGAAGTTCAAATGAGACAGCTTTAGAATCAATTGAAGAAGTCGGATCAAAATCTAAAATCTGCAAATACTCTGTAATAGGACTTCATTTTGCACAATTTGGAATTTTCTGGCGATATGCTAAACTTTTCGTGCCCGTCGATTTAAGATTTGTCAAACATGAAGTGAGAGATTTATGCATTTTAAGATTGATTCATGCTTTCTGTGAAGCTGCGCCGATGCTTTTAATTCAATGTTACATTCTAATGACGATACAATCGCACGATGAAAACAATATTAATGCAATTAAAATAAAGACACTTGGTGGGCAACTTTCAACTCATCTTGTTCAGCAATCAACAATCGTTCAACAATACCACCAGAAAAATTTCAAAGACCTTAACGCAATTTCAGCTTCCCTTTCATTATTTAGTGTATGCTGGGCTTTAGCCAGTTTTAGTAAAAACGTTCGTGTTCACAATGTACATAGATTTGTGTTGACATGGTTGGGAGTTATTTTTCAATTCTTTTGGAGACTGGGAACAGTAACTTCCAGAGTTTTATCACTCACAGCTTATGCATCAGTCTACAAGAAATGGATCTTCCTCGTCATAAGTAAAATAATCAAAATTGTAAAATTTATATAATTTCATGCATATTTGCTTTCAGTTCTTCATTGGATTTCAATGTTTCTTTGGTTGATATCACCTAAAAATGCTTTTCATGGGGAGCAAATTTCAAGACTTAAAAAAATCTTGTTGAGTGGTCTGATTGCATTCGTTTATGTGTTTGCATATATCAACCTTCAAGAAGTTAATCATAAGCAGAAGATGACGATATTTTACATCGTTATGTTTCTTGAAAATTGTCTTCTGGTTTCTTTATGGATGGTGGGAATTTGGCCAGACAGAGCTGAGAATTGGTACTTGATACCGTCATATGTGCTTGTATTATTTTTTTCTGGAATATTTATCATGTTCATTTACTATAAGTAAGAATTAATTTATTTTATTTTTCTTCAAAACTCTTAAATGTAATTTTTGCAGATATTTTCATATACGTCGGATGGGATATCAAACTGAAAACAATTCCATTGGCAAACTTAAGAAATGTGTTGCATATTCAAATGTGTGTCGGTGTAATCGTGTTAACGAAGATCCCAAATATGCAAATATTTTTCATGACATTTCATCCTTTCATCAAAAGATTGATGATGAGTTAAATGAAGACGAGAAGCTGCAAAATCCTCCAACAAATGAACATTTGAAGGGTATATTCAATTGTAGATTTTCGAATCCGGTTAAGTAAGTGTATAAAGAATTTAAGATTAAAGAAATTGTTTAAATCATTTTTATTTATTTTAGCAATGCAACAAAGAGAAAAAAGAAAAAACCGACAACGTTTATTCCACCACCAGTTCTAGCGATTCCAAGTAATCCACTGACTATAAATATGAACATAAACCAAGAAGAATGTCAATTAATTAAGAGTAAATTGATAAATGTCGATATTGGACCGATGTCAATTCCTTTTTGGCGCCAGCCTTTGCCACGAAACAGCATGACGGGTGGATCAAGCGAGACCGAAGGGAGTGTTGCATCTTCAAGAATCAACATTCAACTGAAACTTCAAGAGAAGAAACAAAAGCAGTTGGCAGAACTGAAAATAATTGAAGAAGAAATAAAGCAAGGAAAGCTGAGCCGACAGAAAATGAATGGAGTTGATTCGTACGATAATGACGATAACGGAAAGGTTTCACTTTTACCTCGACAACCAGCACCACGCTCAAAAAAACATATCAATATAGAAACAATTGACTTCAGAGGGAACTCATCAGCATCGGAAAACGGAAACATGAATAATATTCTGCATCAGCTTCAAGTAACTGAGAATATGCGATATAACAATTTTTCACAAAATGGTGTTATGGCAGTGATGGGACTTTCTAACGAAACTCTCACGAGTATAAATATTGGTGAAAAGTCAATAAATAAAAAGCAACCATCTGCATCATCCACTATGACAAGTACAACGTCAGAGAATGATTCAATAACTCGTCAAATGGTAGCATCAAGAAATCTCAACAAAATAAAAAATGGCAACAATCTCAATATCCAAACGCATTCAAGTCCATGCATGGGAAGTCCAATTTGTCATTATGATCCTCGTCATAGCACTTATAATAGTCTAGAAGGTAAAAATAAAAGTGAAACTCAACGTTCCTCGAATAGTAAAAACGAGCATGTCAGTAACAATAACATCAACACAAGTAGCATTGAAAAAGAAAAGAATCTTGCATCGCAATTAATTAAACGACAAATGCAGCGTGGAAATACGCCGGAAATTCTTCTTTCTCCTAATCATCTTGATCGCAATGTTCATTATTATCAACATTTAAGTACAACAGGTCCCATGGTTCCCGTGAGGAGTATGGGAAATAATAGTTATATTAAGTAAGTTAATTTTTGTGAATAAAAAATCTCACAATTTATTTAATATCTAATTATTGAAATTTTCAGGTGTAAGAATGGGTTTGAAAGAGCAATGAACCTTCATGACGATGATGACGATGATGATGATGGGGATGATTCAGAAAATGTGTCATCGGATATTGACAGTCAGGTAATTTAAAATTTACGTTTATTTTATATTATTGCTTTAATGGTTGTAAAATCAATTGGTTTAGATGTCACTTCCGCGATCCTACACACTTCCACGTGAATTCAAGTTCAATAGAGATGGAAAAAAAGTCACTAGAAATGAAAATTTTGTAATTAGTACCAACAGTAGCGACGGTAATTCTTTTATCACCAAGCTTGTGGTATTATTATCTTATCAACATTTATATTTACTTCTAAGGTGACGTGGATAGCTGTGATGATAACGAGTTTGAAGAAGGAGATAAAACTACAATTAACCAAAGAATGAAAAATCGAAGAACAAACAACCTGAATAAAAATCGTCTGCAATTGAATAGTACGTTCAGCAATATCAATCCGAACATAACATCTGTTAAACACCATCAAAATTCGTATGAAACGCGTACTGGAAATTTCAAAGTCAACAATCTTGATCTTTTAAATGGATGCATTGACAGTCGTTTCGATTCAGCGAATCTCCATGGTGCCTCAACGTCACGACAAAACCGTTCAAGAATGACTCATTTCTAGATTTTTGAAGCTTTGTTTAGTATTAAAGCTTTCGCTACATTTTTGTTCTGTGCCAATCTTAAAACTCAACTTTGTTTTACTGTTATTCATGTGTAAGTGATTAAGTTTCTTTCAGATTTCTGTTCTTTAAAGGTGCTTAGAATAATCTGGAAACGAAATGACATAAAAAATAATTTATCACCTAAATACAAAAGTTGAGTTTCTACAATTTTCAATATATTTATTACATTTACTTTATCAATTTTATGGAATTAAGAGTAAAGTAACCTGTAGATCAATTTTTAATTTTTTATACAATTAAATTATATTTTATATAAGTAAATAAATATTCCATAATAATTGCATGTATTTAATATAATTTCAATGGATTTTTCCATTTTCTAATAATTTATCTACAATAAAAATTTATTTTCTATGTTTAATTTTTTAGACTCATTTCATTGAAAAAAATAATAAAAATGTTTGATATTTATACTTATTATAATTACTTCATGAATATAATAAGTTGCTGACGTCAAACAAAAAAAATGAAGCTTTTGCAGTTGTTATAATCTTGCTATACTAACAAAGAACTATAAAAAGCGAACATGAGTTATTGTTTTTTCTTAGTTGAAAACTGTCATTAACAAAATTGTCTTGATTACTAAAAAAGTTAAAAAACACTTTTGGTTGTCAAAATTTCGAGAAAAAAATTGCTAAAATCGACAAACTTTACTTCGTATGACCTTTGAGGTGCGCATATCTTTATCGTTCTCGCTTTTTCAAGGGAAATTAAAATCCTAATTATTGGTCAACCAGTGGAAGTTTCTAAAAGTTAGAGCGGAATAACATTTGAGATTAATCCGTTCAATTCTCACAAAGAATATTTTCCTAAGATGCGTAGAACTCCCAGGACCTCTAAGATTCCCAAGACCCTTAGAAATCCGAGGATACATTATAATTCAGTTTCTTTTAAAAGTTCTGAAAAAGTTAATGATGATATCTAATTTAGATAATTGAAACGTTGTATAAAATTTGTTCAATTCCTAGAATACTAATTATTCAGACAAATTAAATTTGCAATGGTCGTACATCATTACCTCAGATTATTTCGACTTCCCGTATGAAGCTCAGAATTCTAATTTATTTTTTAGGAAGTGTGAACGTTCATGCGATTAGTTAATATGTTACCTTTCACTTCAAAGACATGCTATGCTTTAAAAAATGTAGAAGAATAAAACATTTAGAAGGAAGCAATTTAGATTCATAATACATCAACTAGTTGAAAGTTCATATTAAATTATTTATTAACATATAAATTAAAACATTTTTAACATAGAATTTACATTTGTGGAAATATGCTTCTCTATTTACAATAATATTCCTTCCATCAAATAAATATGTTGTAAGTATGTTTGTGCTTTTAAATTGTGTCAGGAATCTAATTAAGTGAATTAAAATAATGAATCGGATATTTATGTTTTTAATTTAATTCAGTTATCAAAAAAACTACATACCATAATTAAAAAATAAAATTATTCAATTTCGTATTTGAAGCCAAAATTCCAATAGCTGCTCAATCCTTTTGAAAAACTCGCATCTTATTAAATCGTGTCTGCTGCATACCTGTTGTGAAGTATAAAATGTATCATAAGATAAAAAGCAACAACATCAATTTTTTAAATTTTCAATTGAAATTACCTTAAGGAATCATTCAATAAAATGTTATAATATCCAATCCAATTCGGTGTCTCTTTTAATGGAGCGATATGGATTTAGAAGAATAATTCCTTAATAATTACTGGCTTCTATAGTCATTGAGGGCACATCCTTAAGACTTTTAAGATAAAATTATTCACTTAATGATGTTTAAACCATCAGTGATATAAAATATATTCCAAATTGTTTTCTTCCGTTAACAAAGTTCAAAGAAAGTCACTCAAGTCAAAATCGATAGGAAATAAAAACTAAAGAAGAAAATAAAAGAAAAACGTGATTATCGTATCAAAGCATTAAATGGGCATTATATCCAATTATGTGAATGCTACTTAATTCTTAATTAAAGCATTGCCTAGAAATACTAAAAAGATATTGCATAATCGAATCAAGAGTATTGTGAACTCTGTGATTTGGTGCTTTTAAATAGATATTTAAAATTATTAGAGACACATAAACATTAATTATCAAATATTTGAAACAAAACATGCTATAATATTTCGTTTCACAATATTTTTAAATTTAAAACTTTTTCTCAAAGTTTTTTATTCTTCTCCTTCCATGTTATGCAGTTTAAAACAATTTAAAATACTTAAGCGACACAAAACATTTGGTAAATGTGAACATGATGAGATGGAAGAATATAAGGAATTAATATAAACAATTGCAAATGATTTTAGTAAAAATATTTTATATTCTTATCCTACCTGCAGTTATGTTTCAAATAATTCAAACCTGCTCGAAAATTTTCAGTGGGAAAATAGAAAACATTTAAGAAAAGCATAATCAATAACAATGAAGCTGATTCAAGTGATAAATTTTCAAGAAAAGATCTAATTGTTGAAAATTTTTTAAAATGTGGTCCATGAAATTGTACCTAATTGAAAAAAATTAAAATCTTCCTTATGAAGATAATCAAAAATAATGTAACAAAGCTTTTAATATAAAGTAACATTTATTTTGGTGGACTATTTCATTCCAACTTTTCTAACTGGCAATGACCCCATTTTCTAAAAAACATTGTTTCCAAGCAAATGATAACAAAAAAAAACTCGAGACATTTCAAAGAGTATGTGCAATGCTTACCAAATTGTGCGATGATACCCTGTAACACAAAACGAATGTAAAGATTCATAGCATATATTAATGTATCCAAAAATGACAACAACATCACAACACAAAGACAAAGCAAAAAGAGAAGAGAAGAAAAATCATGAAGCTCATGAACGTTCCAAATTTGGTCATTTGGCATTTTTACACATGTTCAATATTTTAATAATTTCTCATTTATATCTTCACCTTTCACGGCGGCGTTTAAGATTTTTTGAAACTTTACGCGACAATAGAGTTCACTTTTCCGGAAAAGTATCAAAAAAGCGTGGGTGAACTGTGGGAAACGATAATAAATTACTCAGCCGTTATCGCATGTTTTTTCTTAACGAAGTTTCTTTCTCTTCTCGTTTCTTTCTTTTTTTCTTTTATTTTGCTGTTCCAAGCTAAAAGCTTCATTTTCTTCTCTTTTGTGTTCTTGCTCATTTATTTAGTAAAAAGATTGGTAAAAAATTTCACTGTCGGAAAAAAGCATCAAGAATGTTCAGCTTAAAATCAAAATAAAAGTCGTCTTGTAAATAATTTTGCTTTTCCTTTCTTTTATGAATACATATATTTTATTTCGGAAGAATGAAACTCTTAATATTTGATTGATAGCGAGAGATGGGAAGAGAGGGAGAGAGTTGAATGATTGCTTAAAATGTGTTTAAAAGAAAGTGCTACAAAAACTGAGAAATTTTATTGGCACATAAAATGTAGCTTTTCGAAGCTAGGTTTTCTAACTATCATATCGACTTAAATCATATACAAACATAATCAAATCAAGGAGTTTTAAATACTTTTAGAATCTGATGAATATTTAGTAATTTTTTAAAAATATCTTAAATGGTCTCAAAAAAATTACTAAATAAAGGGAAGAAAATTTTACAATGAATCTAAGAGAAATATCCATCATATGATGTCAATTCAAATCACTTGTACACATTAAATGAGATTGCTAATACAATGATTACATAGATGATGGAAAGAACAAGCAAAATGTTATGAAATTATGTATTATAGTAACAAACTTATGAAGCCTAAGCATTTAAAAAAAGATACATTTGGAATTCTTTCCATTTCACCTGCACAAAAGCCGCAAGTGAATATTCTTAATAAGGTAATTTATCTCTGCATGCATTTACATTAAATCATATCTTCAATGCATTAAATTTATTTCGAAATGAAGTTCAAATTTTCATAACCAAATTTGATTTTCAAAACATGCAACAAAAATTGAGAGGAAGAAATTTTTGTTTTACGTTTTTCCCAAAATTGAAAAAAAAAATAATTCAATAATTTAATTCGAGATTTTAGCAACTAACAAGCTAAAGTTCTAATATCAAATTTTTTTATGGATTTAGAAAACTTCTTTAAAATTATGAATTGAATATAACTTCTAATTCATTTATGATTTTTTAAAATAAAGAAATATTAAAGAATTAAATAATGAATATTTTAATTAATGTAAACACTATCGAGTCGCTTCTGAAGAAGAAGTGGTTGTGGGAGGTGATAATGGAACGGATGATGTTCTTATTGAATGATAACTACTCAAAGGTGTGTTGTTGTTTCCTGTATTTTCATAATAACTTGGGTATTGAGAGGATGGGGGAGCTTGAAAATGTTGTGTAGCCACTGAGGGCGATGGGGGCGAATAATGTGGTGAATTATATATATGCGAGTTTTGTGACGAGTGTGAATAATGCTGTGACGGATGAGGTAAGGTATATAAATGGTTATGGGTCGATGGCATTGTTTGGGACACACTTTGAACATGAGTTGATGATGGATTATAAGCTAAGGATTGTCTTACTTTTTGTTTTTCTGGAAGATCATTTAATTCGTTGCAAATATCAAAAGACAATTCGGTTTCTTCAAATCCTGTTGCTGACATTCGCTGTTCGTTTACAACCACAGGATTGTTGCTTGAAGTTTCACCACTTTCCGGGCTATTAAGACATGTTTGAATTAATTGTTTTCCCGCATCTGATGTTATCATAGGCTGGAGCTTTCTTGTGGCGAAAGTATATACATGACCAGTTTCTGAAGCTACAAGTAACATTACTTGCGTTCCCGTGAGAGTTGACAGCTCGTAAGCCTACATATTAGTGAGATAAAAGCATAATTTTTAAAATGAAGAAATCCTTTATGATAAATATTGTTTGTATGTAGAAAAATATAAAAGAAAGATTTGGGAAAAAATATTACTTAAAAGTGTCAAAAAGGTTGTGGATGATATGTGATGATATCAATTTTCTTTTAAACAATATTTTATGTTTATCTATATTGATGATGCCTTAAATTAGGATGTAGAGGTGTTTGATTGCTCTCAAACGTTTCTTCATTCATCACCAAAAAGTGCAGTTTGCATATTAAAATCAATTTATTCAAACATTTCTTCCTTCCATAAAAATATTATTTTGGAAAAAGTCGATTTATTGACACCAAAATCATACGATTATTAATAAGGCAAAGTTTAAAGCTTGATGAATAAAATGTATTGCAATATGTTGCTAAGTTAATATCAACCAAAAAAGGCTAGAGGGTCATAATACTTTAAAAGCCATTTCGTTTATAAACATCAAAAGAAAATTGGAAATTTGAAAGCATCGATTCGTAATTATTTATTTATTTATTTTTTTTTTTTTGAAGACACGTATTGCACACTTTTGAGAAATGTTTCATCAAAATTTCATAAATAATCTTTTCGAGTCACATATTTTCACTTATCAGTTTGGAGTTATTTTTTTCTTTTTGTCGCAAAATTAAAAGTCATTATTGATAAGATAACGAAATAATTTGCTCGATTATTACTTCAAGAATATTTTTGGCTTTTTGACGTTTGTTATGAGGAAGACAAATTTTTAAATTATTCTTAAATCTTCTTAATTATATTTTTAGGCACACTTACCTTTTTCATTATCCCGGTTTTTCTCTTAGAAAAAGTTGTATAGCGTCTCAGCTTATTTTCAATATATTCCATTTTAATCTTTACTCGACCTTTCGTTTTCTTGCCACTAGCAACACTTTTCGGACTGTCAGTGATTTTATCAGAAGTATCTTCAATTGAAGTGGTTGGTGAAGAATTTATTGGATAATTGTCGTTACTGTTGTTATTTGTCAAAACTATGCTGTTGCTATCGTCTGTGGCGCTACGCTCCTGAGGAACTTCAGGATACATTGTGTTATTGTTATAGGAATCATAAATTTCATTCGTTTGATAAGGATGAGGATAAACCTGCTGATCTACGAGCTTTTCATATTTTCGTTCCCTTTCATCATTTTCGTCATCTTTCACATAGTAATGTCGCTTCAAGTAATTGCGATCTGTCTCCAATGCCGAATAAAAGCTTTGCGTGTTCTGACGTGGTGAGTGATAATTTTGATGATAAATATCCGTAGGATTTGTAATGTAAGTATTTAAGTAACGCGAGTTCAATGTTGGTGAAATTCTTTCAGCTTCCAATTCCATTTTAAACTGAAAATGTTCTCGTTGAAGTGCTTCGTTGATCAATTTTATATTTTATTGACGTATTTATAACTATATTTAAGCTGTAAATATTAAAAGATGCCTTTTTAACTGTTAATATTTAAAGTTCGGTTCACTTGGACACAATTTTTTTTATTATCTTTGAAAATTAATTTCTAACAATGATTAAATCAATTTTGCTCAATTATGAAAGCTTCTCGATTGAAAACTGATCCACTCAACTGAATGTTTTCTTTCACACTGAGGTTTTTTGTTTCAGATACGCGATAGTCACGAGAATTGCAAACATCGTCCCCACGGTTTACTCAAAATTCGGGTGGGTTATCACATCAGCTTATTTTTTTCTCCTTATCATATCGCACAAAATTTACAAAATATGAACACGCGAATGTTTTCTTAAATTACACGTTTTTATAAATATATTTTTATATTAATGAATTTTTCTTATTTCTTAAATTAGGTAGTTGTAACGTTTTAATTCTAGAAAATTTTCAATTAAAGAAGTGCAGGTCATTGATGCAAATCCATTGATTGATCTTTTTGATTCTATTTGACGAAATCATTATTTTTAATTTACTCTTCATGACTAAGTCAGATATTGAGGCCCTTCATAAATCGAATCATAAACCTGGGTCCAAGCTAATTGGTACAATAAAGCATAAAACCTTTTTTCTTGAAACCATGGAGAATTCATAATAAATGGCAAATATTTAATTCAGTCGTTTAATTATAAAGCAAATGGATATTTTAGAAAGATTTTAATAAGTATCGAAGGTGACAACTTTTGGCATTTTGTCTAAAATTTTCAGGAATTGTATTTGAAAATAGATCCGAAGAAATTGAATGATTAAATTGAGCTGTTGGGTTTCCATCTTAAAGCATCATTCTTCACTGCACGGTCTTGAAAAGTACCTAATTTACTTCCGAATATCATATAATGAAATAGTAAATTGATATGTGGGTTTTGTTCTTTTTTAAAATGTAATTATTTGTTGTATATGAAATAACGAAACTAAAATTGCCGCCGTAGCTAAATAATAATGAAATTTAAGTAATTTTTGTAGCATGAAAAAGTTGCTTATCCTCATTAAATTATTCAATATCTATAAGCTTTCTAATAATAATTGCGCGCAAGTTACTCATAGAATCTGTGACTCCTCTAAGATTATAAAAAATGATCACTCGTTTGAAAGTATCTAAGTAAGTGAGCATCTACTTGAAGAAATAGTTAATTAAAATAATTTTGATCTTCAAATTAATAGACGTCTGGTATAATATAAGAAGAGCGTCACTGTGAACGAATTAAAAATAGTTACGTGTCTTTAATCAACCACAGCGACTTCCAAAATTTTAGTCGCCTTTTCTTTCTCTTTATTCTATTCTTCCGCTTCGTCTTCCGTTCATTCTTTGCACATATTTATGAGACTACCGTTGAAATTATGGATGGGAAACACAACCAATATTCAATAATAATAAGTAGATGTGTAATTGTAAAGTTACGTTTTCTCAAATTAAAAATAATGTGGCATGAAAGGAAAAAGTCTTACCACGTGCTGAATAGTTTTAATTCTTTCAATGAATTTATTCTAATATGTTGCAAAGAGAATATTTCTAAATTTTATTTTTATTCATACTTGATGTTATCAGCAATAATTGATAAAGTCCGTTCTTTCATTTCTTGATTAATTAACTATGTTATTTCGATGCAATTCATTATGAATCATAATTTTATAGTTAGATAACCAAGTTTAGGTTTAAAAATTTTTCGAGGGTTCTTTTTAAAAAAACTGAATACGAAATTTCACGATTTGCCTGATATAATTCATAAACTTTTGTAGTTTTAGATTGACTGCTTCATGAAGTGAATAGGTCAAACATGATGTTAAAACTTTTTTCTCACGCTATAGGAGGTTACTTTCTCCACCCCATAACTTATACATCTTTAAATATTTTTGCTTGCCATGATAAATCTAAGGATGTTCGTTATAAGTTTTACTATTAATTTCCATAATTCAATTTCAAATCCTTTTCTTTTCATTCATTTGAATTCTAGTTTTATGGAAAAATTATTTCTATAAATTAATTATTTGTGAATAACTAGTACATATATCCAATTTATGTATGCACGCATCATTGCAAAATTGAAAGAAAGTCGTGTATTGAAAAGGTGCTTTTTAAGGTCGAAATAAACAAATAAACAATATCTGAATTCAAATACGGCTATACATTAAGAGCGTCAATGAAAAAGAGAGATAGAAACTTCACGAGCAAATATCTCTGTGAGAAGTAAGCGAAAACAAAATTTAAATGTCTTGAAAGCACCGCGGATTTTTGTTGCTGTTGCTTGTTTCGATTTGGTTCCAAACAGAAAGAGAGAAAAAAAAACACAAAAAATATTACATCTGGTCGTAGGTTTTTCCTTTTTACTACTGTAAGGATCATCAATATGATGTTAAAAATTGGTAATTATATATTTGGCTGATAAAAAAATCGGAAAACGAACAAATTCTTATAAATATAGATCAGGTGTTGCTAAAATATGAAGTTGTTGATCAGATGTATAAACAAACATCTGAACATATGGTCGACTTTGTGCACATGTGATGTGATAAATATCGTGTGAGAGAGTTTGCAATTCTATAAAAATTGTTCATTTTTTAATAATTAAACAATTTAACAATTGAAATCGTATGTCCATTAAATATCTAAATTATTTAAAGAAGAAAAATTATACTTACGAGTTTCAAATTCTAAATTTTCACTTTGGATAATCGTTTTCCGTTTTTTAAAAATTTAAATTAGTGACATATTTAAAACTTCTTTTTAATCATGATTCTGATTTTAAGTTTTGTAATTCAACAATACTTGGCTATGTTTATTTTCTTCCAATCAAGGTGATAACACTAAATATTATTATGTTTAGAGCAATATTATGCTGATAATTTAACTCAAACACGATCAGCTGACAGCTGTTATTTTATTCGAGTGGGTCGCAAAACGCTGTAATGAGATCCAACCAACACTCGCCAATGAGCAACTGAATGCGTCTAGCAGATCAAGAAATAATAAAACTTTGAAGCGATCGAACATAAAGCAAAACAAAACTGAATACAACACATCTCAAAGGGAAACATATAAACTTAAAAAACTCTCAACTCTCTCAAAAAACAGGAAAAATAAGCAAAAAGCTTTAGTAACTCTCTTAGTTTGTCATGGTTTGACACTCTCAGGAGCTTTAAAATTTGCAATCCTTTTTGCACTAAGCTCAATACCTAATTTTTTTTTGTTATTTTATCCTGAATCATGTTCACATTCTACTTGAAAACTTGAAACATTTTTCTGAAAATTATTAAATTTCAATCTTCTTTTGTGAATAGCTAATAATGTAGGAAAAAATGAAAAAGAAATTTTCTTCAAATTATATGTGCAGATTGTGAAGATAACACGAAATAATTAAGGTCAAATTCAAATTTGATTTCATTTAATTTTGAGAGACAGATCAGAACCACGAGAAATCATCATTCAACATTAAATGAAAAAAATATGGGTGGAGCTTGGCTGTATGCTTGAGTGTGAATTAGAATTGATTTGCGGAAGACAACATACAACAAGAAGTTGATATTTGAGAGTTAGGATTGAAAACCTTCTTGAATGATTGAAATGAAATAATGGAAATACAGAGAAGAAAATTGTAGATCAAATGATCTTGCACAGTAGCATCCACAAAGAAAAATTTTAATCACTTTACTGCATTTATAGGACCTACTTACATTTATAGGACCTACTTACATCAAGAAAAGACCAAAAAAGTAATTAGCATTTTAAAACAATATTATAATTGTCCTGTTGCTTATGACCGTCTATGTTTATTTTTAATTATCAGAATAGCAAAATACTTCATTCTTACTTTAAAAAAATTATTAGATTGTGAATTTTCTTGAATCAGTCTGCAGATTTTGTCCTTTGACATTGGTCAACTATTGAGAATAAATGTTTATTTGTAAGTCATGTTTAGTTTCCTTAATGAAATACCTGCTATAATAATCGAATAGATACTTCTTTTCTATAGCGATTAAACTTGTTACATCGTACAGAACTTATTGCTAAGAAATAATTATAATAGTTTTTAAATACTCAAATACGATTACAAATTTATATCTATTTATATCTATGTGAAAAGCTTCTCCTTTTTTGACTTTCATTTTAATTTTCTCATCAAGTTTTAGGTCATCTGCGAAAAAAATTCTGCTGAGTTTTTGATTGTCTCCTTTCAGTGTTTAACCAACACAGTAAACAAAATAATTGTGCGTATTTTTCTTCTGAAGTCAAGTTAATTGTGATTTTTCTGATTTACGTGAAATTATTTCTCATCGTATTGCATCATTTCTTTTCAATAAATCACAATTCTTTACGTAGATATATTCTTTGTAATTTTGTAAGAGTATTTAACTGAAATTTATTAATTTAAGACAAGTAACATTTCAGCAATCAAAGGTCCCTCACATATAGACTTGAAGTTGCTTGTTACTTCTGGTTGAAAATTCATGAAATTTAAGAACAACAAGAAATATATGTATACCAAATAGGGAATTTATGTTTTTTTCCTGTTATCAGTCGAAGAATTCAACGGACTAAATGGTAGAGAAAATGAAGAAATGTCGCCTTCTTGTCTTGTTATAATGTTTGTCGTACTGTGGAGTTCTTGTTATTTGCGTTTATTATATATTTTCGTTTAAACATTAAATTCATAATGATGATACGTGATTGGAATCTGTAGAAAATGCTGCCGATGCTTCTCTCATTTGCCATATCTTTGAATTCCATTTATAATTTTTTTCTCATGTAAAACCAAGTACAATATGAGAAATTTAGGTAGTGAGAATTTATTTAAAGATTACATGTTTTCTCTTCATTCTTGTTCTTTAAAATCAATAAAATATATCTACCTACCTAGGAAGCGTTTTAAGATGCATACGAAATATTTACCTAAGGATATGTTACATGTTATCTAATGAGCGTGGAATTGAAACACTAAGTAATGAAAAGAAGCAGTGGAAGCGTGCTGGGCCCATAACCTGTTGAGGGTCGGGAGATTTAATAAAAACACTTTGACTTACTTTTTAATTAAT